CAGGTCCTGCTCTCCCAGCCTCACCCTGTTACCGTCAAGTGTCCTCGCCCTGCTGTGTTGTGTTTTAAAGACACATCTTATTCATCTGACAGGAAGAGTTAGAGATAGAGAAACAGACAGAGAGAGAGAGACACAGAGAGACAGAGAGAGAGAGAGAGAGAGAGAGAGTTCTTTCATGGTTCACTACCCAAATGGCTGCAATGGCCAGGGCTGGGCCAGAATGAAGTCAGAGCTGCTTCTGCGTTTCCCACAAGGGTGCAGAACCATCTTGGGCCATCTCCTGGGCTTTCCCAAGACCATCAGCAGGGAGCTGGATCGGAAGTGGAGCAGCCGGGACTGGAATGAGTGCTCATATAGGATGCCGGCATCACAGGTGGTGGTCACAATGCTGGCTCCCCTTACTCTGCTTTTCTGAAAGCAAATCGACCACTTACTAAAATTAGCTCTCTGGACAGAGAGTGGTGCAGCTGGCCCAACAAGGCTCTTACCACCAGTCACACTGCTTTAGCAGATGACATCTCAGTGTCGTCTTGTTCCATTTTTCTCCAGGAATTATAAGTCCATGGCACAAAGTAACTACCACCTATATGCAGTCACCAGATGAACTGAAGCCCACTTTTCCACCACCAAAATCCCCTAAACCAATCAATGGACCAACCAGAAACTAGCACACGAGCTGACCTTGCATCTCTCAGCCGCCATCTGTAAGAACTTTCCCCTTTAACCCCTCAGAGAGCCTGGGGCTCAGTGACAGCCGCCCAGCTCCTGGCCCTGTGCTCTGCAGTAAACACCTCCTTGCTTCCTGACCCTGGCAGTAGTGCTGGCTTTCTCCACGTGGGGCGACTGGACCCAGTTTTCAGGGTTCTATGGCAACTCCTCCAACCAGTTTTGAGGTTATCACTAGTAAACTCTTGCAAGAAAATATAGGTACAAATTATTACGACCTTGAATTAGGCAAAGCTGTTTTAGATTGGACATGGAAAGCACAGTAAAAACAGATAAACTAGATGACACCAAAATTCAAAACCACTATGCTGCAAGTGATGAAAGTCAACAGGCAGCCTGCGGGGCAGGAGGGAGTGTCTGCAACTCATCCATCTGGTAAGACACTTGAATGCAGAATCTACAAAGAAGTTAGAACTCAATAATCAAAAAATACAACTTAAAAGTGGGCAAGGCCGGCGCCGCGGCTCACTAGGCTAATCCTCCGCCTAGTGGCGCCGGCACACCGGGTTCTAGTCCCGGTCGGGGCGCCGGATTCTGTCCCGGTTGCCCCTCTTCCAGGCCAGCTCTCTGCTGTGGCCAGGGAGTGCAGTGGAGGATGGCCCAGGTGCTTGGGCCCTGCATCCCATGGGAGACCAGGAAAAGCACCTGGCTCCTGGCTCCTGCCATCGGATCAGTGCCGTGCGCCGGCCGCAGCGCGCCGGCCGCGGCAGCCATTGGAGGGTGAACCAACGGCAAAGGAAGACCTTTCTCTCTGTCTCTCTCTCTCACTGTCCACTCTGCCTGTCAAAAAATAATAAAAAATAAAAATAAATAAAAAATAAAAAAAATAAAAAAAAAGTGGGCAAAGGATTTGAATAGACATTTCTTTCAAAAAATGTGAAAATGGCTAGCAATCACATGAAAAGAGGCTCAAGATCATTTCTCAGTATAAGATACAAATCAAAACCGTAATGAGATACCACCTGATTGCCACCAGGATGGCGAGAATCAAAATGACTCCAAGAGTTGTTGAGGATGTAGAGAAACCGGAACCCTCACACACTGCTGGTAGGAACGTAAAATGGTGCAGTCACTTTGGAACACATTCTGTCAGTTCTTCCAACAATTAAAACATAAAATCACTATATGAACTGGCAACCCCACTCCTAAGATTGTATCCGAAAGAAATAAGAACATACGTCCACACAAAAATTTGCACATGAATGTTCCTAACAGTATTCCCAGAAGCCAAAAAAAGGGAAACAATCCAAACGTCCATCAGCTGATGAATAGGTAGACAAACCATGGCACATATCCATACTATAAAATATTTGGTCATAAAAAGAACAAAGGGGGGCCGGCACTGTGGCACAGCAGGTTAATGACCTGGCCTGAAGCACCGGTATCCCATATGGATGCTGATTCGAGACCCGGCTGCTCCATCTCGCTGCTATGACCTGGGAAAGCAGTACAAGATGGCCCAAGTCCTTGGGCCCCTGCACCAACGTGGGAGACCCAGAGGAAGCTCCTGGCTCCTGGCTCCTGGCTCCTGGCTCCGGATCGGCGCAGCTCCGGCCACTGTGGCCAATTGGGGAGTGAACCAGCAGATGGAAGACCTCTCTCTCTCTCTGCCTCTACTCTCTCTGTATAACTCTGACTTTCAAATAAATAAATAAATCTTAAAAAAAAAAAAAAAAAAAAGAAATGAAATGAAGGGGCAGGTACTGTTGTGCAGTAGGTCCGGATGCTGCGTGGGACACCCGCATCCCATATGGCAGTGCCAGACTGAGATCCAGCTACTCTGCTTCCAGTTCAACTTCCTGCTAATGCGCCCTGGGAGGCAGTAGATAACGGCCCAAGTACTCCGGTCCCTGCCACCCATGTGGAATACACAGATGGCAACTGTGGGCTCCCGACTTTGGCCTCATCCAGCTCAGGCTGTTGGGGACATTCAGCAAGTGAACCTGCAAATGGAAGATTGTTCTTGTTCTGTCTTTCAAGGAGATGAACATAAACAAATGAACTTTCAAAAAAATTCACAGAAAAAATATTTTTTAAAAAAGCAATGAATTATTGGTCTATGCTACAATATGGATTAATCTTGAAAGCATAATGCCAAGTGAAAGAAGCCAGTCACAAATACTACATATTTCATGATTCTATTCATATGAAATATCCAGAACAGACAAACGTAGAGGCAGAAAGAGACGGGTGGTTGCCAGGGCCTGGGGAGAGTGGGGTTTGCAGAGTGACTGCTAATCAGTTTGATGAAAATGTTCTAGTTTACAATCATGATATAATAAAAGTGACAATACTGAATGTATTATACTTTAATTTTTTTTATCCATTTTGAATGTCAGAGATATACAGAGAGCTCTTATCTGCTGGTTTACTTCCTGAAGACCTGGCACAGCTGAGGCTGGGCTGGGCTGGGCAGAACTCAGGAGCAGGGGATTCAATCCAGTCTCCCACATGGGTGACAAAACCCAAGTGCCTGTGCTTCAGCTCTAGTGCCCAGGGTGTGCACTAACAGAGAGCTGGGGTGGGATGAGAGCCAGGTTCAAACCCAGCATTCCAAAACGCAAAGCAAGCTTCCTAAGTGGTGCCTTAACCACTAGGTCAAACCCATTTAAATGAATTTTATAGTATGTGAACGATATCTTAACAAAGATGCTCTGTGAAAAAAGAAGCGAGGACAATTTCATAGTTACACTTTCTCCCTAAAGAGTCGGAAAATGGAACTCCTATCTGGATGAGTCTTAGGTAGAGGACTTTGCATTTTATAAACTATTTGAAAACGATCTCTGGCATGTTCTTTAGTCCCTTGGCCATGTGATCTTCCAACCAGGAGCAGGCAGTGGTAATCAGGAATAATAACAAAAGCAATCATTATTATTAGTTTCAGTCCTTATTATGTATCAGATTTTACAAGTATATTCTTAATTAATCCTCGTCAAGAACACATTACTCAAAATAAAAAGCCCACAGTAAAATTGGTTGAATAAATTATGGTATATTTTCAATGAATTATTATATAATTATTTTTAAAATATAATCTGGATATGACACCAAAAGCACAAGTAATGAAAGAAAACACAGGTAAGTTGGACCTCATCAAAAATTTAAAAGTGGGGGCCAGCACTGTGGCATAGTGGGTGATGCCACCACCTGCCGTGCCAGTATCCCATGTGTGCACCATGTCCCAGCTGCTCCACTTCTGATCCAGCTCTCTGCTGTGGCCTGGGAAGGCAGTGGAAGATGGCCCAAGTCCTTAGGCCCCTGCACCCACATGGGAGACCTGGAGGAAGCTTCTGACTCCTGGTTTCTGATAAGTCATCTGGGGAGAGAGCCAGCAGATGAAAGACCCTCCCTCCCTCCCTCTCCCTCCCTCCCTCTCTCTCTCTCTCTCTGCCTCTGCCTCTCTCTAACTCTGCCTTTCAAATGAATAAACAAATCTTAAAAAAAAAAATTAAAAGTGTGTAGGGGGAATCAAAGGACAGTACAAGCAGAGTGAAAAAGCACACCATGGAATGGGAGACCGTATCTGTAAATCAGGTAGCTGATAAGAGATTGATACCCACAACACAAGAAGGAGTCCTACAATGAAAGAAGCAGGTTTCAAAAAACAACCAAAAGCCATGAGTAGGCACTTCTCCAAGGACACATAAATGGCCTCTGAGCATACAAGAGGAGGCTCAGTATTACTAGTCTCAGAGAAACGCAAATCAAAAGAACAGGGAGGCACCACTTCACACCCCTTACAATGGCTACTAAAAAAAAAAAAACAAAACAACCTGGAAAATAACAAGTGTTGGCAAGGATGGGCGCGGGGTGGGGGGGGGGGGGGATGCTGCAGCCACTGCATAAAACGGTGATTCTGTCTTAGGAAGCAACAGACGACCCAGCAACCCCCTCTGAACATGTGCTCCAAGGAGGAAAAGCAGAGGCTGCAACAGGTATTTCTATGCTTTGTGTGCTTGTGTTTGCAGCTGCACTGTTCACACAGGTAGAAGGGACGGCAGTCCCAGGGCCCAGTGACAAGCGGAAAGACAAACAAGTCATGGAATGTAAGGGCGACCATTGCAGGCCTCTGGGGACCGAACCTGCAGACTGGGCTCCCTCTCTCCCCATCTGTTTCTCTCTCTGCGTCTCAAATAAATAAACAGTACGTTACCTAACGAAAAAGGAAAGAAATTTTGACACTCATGTGCTACAACATGGGTGAACCTAGCAGACATCATGCCAAGGGAAATAAGCTAGCCACAAAAGGACTAACATTCTAGAGTTCCTCTTACCTGAGGTTCCTGGTCAACTTCAGAGACAGAAAGTAGAATGAGGGTCCCGGGGGCTGGGAGAGGGGGAAGAGTCAGCGCTCAGTACGTACAGGGTCAGAGGAGGACGGAAAGTTCTACAACGCAGATGATAGTGAAGGCGACAGTACACTTAAAATGCTGAAAAATGGATTTTATGATACACATTTTTCTGCATTAAAATTAGTTTATAACTCTTCTTTATCACAGTAAGACAGGAAGCAGCAGAACACACTCATGATAGGTGAACAGGTAATCCTTGCACTCAGCACCCATAAATCAAAATCACCCAATGGGTCTTTGGAAAATTCAAACAGGTCCCTTCGTCCCCAGGAACAAAAAGAACGCCGACGGGGCCGGCGCCGTGGCTCACTTGGTTAATCCTCTGCCTGCGGCGCCAGCATCCTATGTGGGCACCAGGTTCTAGTCCCAGCTGCTCCTCTTCCAGCCCAGCTCTCTGCTGTGGCCCGGAAGGGCAGTTGAGGATGGCCCAAGTGCTTGGGCCCTGCACCGGCACGGGAGACCGGGAAGAGGCACCTGGCTCCCGGCTTCGGCTGGAGCTGCATTTGGGAAGTGAACAAGGGAAGGAAGACCTTCTCTCTGTCTCTCTCTCTCACTGTCTATAACTCTACCTGTCAAATTTAAACAAACAAACAAACAAAAAACGCTGACCGAGAGGGAGTGACTCCTGCCATGACGTCAGGCTCCAAGGAAGGCAGGAAAGATGGAAGCGCTGCTCGGCTCCACGCGGTGGTGCTCGGCGGCATCACGGGGATTTTGTTTGCCCGTGAGAGGTCTAAAAAAAAAGTTTTCTTCTTGGGTTGTGTGACTTTGAAGGTGACAGGAAATGGCACCAGCTTGATCACAGGACTCACCGGCAGGGAGGCTGCACAGAACGAGAACAGAGACGTCTACCTGCTTTCACTGGGTGAGCACCCCTCTGCAGGGCCCAACGCTAACAGGTGCATCAGCAAGGTGAGCAGAGGGGAGGGAGCAGCTCCACCCTTCCAGCAAGGGCGCTGCGCAAGCGCACAAACACGCGGAGGACTCGTGGAGGGCAGTGGAGGGCACGCTGGGATGAGGTCACCACCACCACAGAGGGATGTGAGAGGAGGTGCGGTGCGGCTCCATCCTGCTGGCTTCATCTCCTGCCACTCTTCCTGTCATTACCCAGCGTGCCTTCTTGCTATTCCTGACCACATCCAGTGAGCCCCATGCACGGGACTCCACCCTGCCCGATCCCTTCCCTACTCGGCTGCTCCTGCAATTCTTCCTCTCTCCCCTCAATCAGAGCTCTTCTCACAGGCTGGGTGCGGGGGCTGCTCTGCCTGCGGACCCCGGCTAACACAGCCTCCGCTCGTCACCTGGGCCCCCGTGCACTGCTGCGTTTCTCTGCAGACTCCCCACGGCCTTGCAGAGTCCATCTATTAACCCCCTCTTGCCACTAAAACTTATCACTACCTTCCCAGCGCTTAGACACACAAACAACAAGGAAACACCTGTGGAAGGAAGACGTCCAGGGAGAGGAGGGGCCTGCAGCCCCTTTGCTGCTTTTCCCAGCAACGTTCCTCTACGACTGGGGTGGGGGGAGCCTTTCTCTGCTAAGGGCCATTTGGTTATCTGTAACATCAGTCACGGGCTGAACGATATTATCAACTTAAACATTAGCCTACTGCAGACTGACTGAATGTTGAGCAGCCGGCTTGACAGGGCAGAAGGTCCCCAGGCTTGCAAAGAGCTGCCTGACCCCTCGGCAAAGAGAGCGAATTCCCTACGCTGCCGTTCAAAGGATCTGACAAGGAGAAGCTGACACGGCAGGGTGGGCTGGGAAAGGGCATCTCCAACTTTTCCTAACATGACTTCTTTAAACGAAATTTTTTTGATAGGAAGAGAAGAGCAACTGAGAGACAGCTCCCATTTGCTGGTTCACTCCCCAGATGCCTACAACACAGCCAGGGCTAGACTGGCAGCCAGGAGCCAGGAACTCAACCCAGGTCTTCAACAGGGGTGCCAGGAACCCAACTACCTGAGCCACCACTGCTGCCTCCCAGGGTCTGCACAGAAGGAGGCTGGAGGTAGGAGCCAGAGAGTAGGGAATCAAACCCAGGTATATATGCAAATTATTAACTTGTTATTCATATGCATTCGTGTATGTGAAAATTACAAGAGTAGACAGAAATTAACATTTTTATCTTAAAGCCACAACTGTTTAAGAAATCCACCACCAGGGCTGGCGCTGTGGCAGATGGGTAGAGCTGCCTCCTGTGGCAACGGCATCCGAAGTGGGTTCCAGTTCAAGTCCCAGCTGTTCCACTTCCCATTCAGCTCTCTGCTAATGTGCCTGGGACAGCAGCAGACAACGGCCCAAGTCCTTGGGCCCGTGTACCCACTTGGAGACCCGGAAGAAGCTCCTGGCTTCAGACTGGCCCAGCTCCAGCCATTGTGGCCATTTGGGGAGTGAACCAGCAGATAGAAGATCTCTCTTTATCTCTCTGTCTCTCTCTGTGACTCTGCCTTTCTAATAAATACATAAATCTCAAAAAAAAAAAAAAAAAGAAAAGAAAAGAAATCCACCACCAGCTCCAATGCGTTCATTTTGTACTACCTGCGTCTAAAATCGCGTACTCTTCATTGGGGCATTCTGGAAGGGAACACAGGACTGGAGGAAAACACCCAGAGCTTCCAATTATCTCTGTGTGGCCCAGTCAAGGATGACCCTAGTGATCATAATACTCATGTTCCATACGATCACAAAAGAGAACTTAATTAAAATTTAAAACAATAAATAATGCAGCAACCAATGACTGCTGCAGAAACACAATACAGCCGCCCTACCCAAGACCTTTCTCCTGACCAGAAAGACCAATGAATGACATGTGACACAGCCCACTGACAACACTTCCCTAATCGAGCCAAAATCACCATCATTTTCAACATTTTCTCTCCTTTACTATTAATGCGTTTCATATAATTTAAAAACAAAACACAGATTTTCAAAAATATTTACACAAAAATTGTGATCATATTAGAATTTGAATTGTTAATGATCCTTTAACATAAGGTGTATCTTGAACTAACACTTATTGTGACCTGTTAATTGTCTATCGTAAAGAACCATTCCTGATATTAACAACCTCACAATCTACAATTAGATAAGAAAAAACATCTATTGAAAAGAAACATGAGCTAAAAGGGACTGTTGACAGACACGTGAATTAGGCTGTTTACCCATTTCACAATATACACATACATCAAACAACTATACATTAATAAAAACAAAAATTAAAAATAATTGAGAGGGACTGGAGACCAGCATCCACTCCTCTGTGCCGTATTTCCAACAGAACACCAGTCCCGTTTCCCCTTCCTCCTCAGCCCCAAGGTTGACCTCTGATCAGAATACGTTGTTGGTGGTCTTGGGTAGGTCTAACTCATTTGAAAGAAGAAAAGACACATTCTAGGATTCCCCATCACTGTCCCTCTCTGGACTGAACTAGTGATTGTGTGAAGATAGACAGTGAAAGAGAAAGGAACTGGGTCTTTCCCCGAAGTTACTGGTTTGCTGAATGAGGCAATTTTGCAAGCTGTCTACTACTATGCACTTCCTATTAGGCACAAAGTTCTTTTTAAGCATCTGAGTTGGGCTACAAAGAACCCAACTTACGTAACCAACAGCATTCCTACCAACACAGAAGAAAACCAAATCATCGGGAACTTTCTTAACAAAAAAGCTGAAATGCCAGCACCTGAATTCTCAGAACTAGAATTATTTCATCACAGAAATAAGCTGTCTTAATAGTGACCAGAAAAAAAAAAGATTAATAGATCAATAAACATGGATGCAGCATTAAGAAAGAAAAAAATGCTACATATCCTCTCAAGTCAAAAAAAATCACCAAGAAAATAACCATAAAGATCTTTCTAGGCTTGCATCAGGTTGACAAACAACTCAGTAATCTAACAGAGTTATTAAAAAATGAGGCAATTCTTGTATCTTACAGTTTGAAATGTTCCTGCTTGTACTTTATCTACGTGTGATATGTCCATGCACACACGCCTACATCCACACAATGCTTTGTATCTTGGAAGCAACGAAGAGAATTCATATAAAAGCAAACCATTTCTACTTTATTAGCATGATTCACCAAGAGTACACTATGGTTCACTAATAACATAGTAATCATAACCAAAGGGTTCTTCTTTTTTGCTTTGTTTAATAGCTAGCTAAAAATACACTGGGTTTATGAAACACAAGTTTTAAGTCTCACTTGTCATTTACAGTACGATACAAGTATCTCCAGGCAAACAGTAATAAAAGACCAAAGGTTACTGTTGCCAAGCTGATGTGGCTAAGCATCAATTTAAAGAGACAAACCAAGAGAAGCGCATGAACTTCTCAGTGACACAGCTCAAGAACAAAGGCAGAAACGAAAGGGGACACTCTTGGAGTTCACCCTTGGTTTCTTAAGGTCTGACTGCAGCAGAAGGAACCAAAACTCCAGTTCAGCAGAACAGGTGTGTGACTTCAGATGTCCCACACAGGCCAGCAGCTTGGAGGCACAATCAAATCTAAACATGGGGACAGGCGCTGTGGTATAGGTTAATCCTCCACCTGTGGCACCTGCATCCCATATGGGTGCCAGTTCTAGTCCCAGCTGCTCCACTTCTGATCAGCTCTCTGCTATGGCCTGGGAAAGCAGTAGAAGACGGCCCAAGTCCTTGGGCCCCTGTACCCACATGGGAGACCTGGAAGAAGCTCCTGGCTCCTGGCTTCGGATAGGTGCAGATCCAGCATTGCAGCCATTTGGGGGGTGAACCAAAGGAAGGAAGACCTTTCTCTCTCTCCCTCTCACTGTCTGTAACTCTATCTCTCAAATTAAGAAAAAAAAAAATCTAAACTTGATAGCATGAAATGGAAATCTGTACTATTAAAGAGTGAGATGCACGTACATCAAGTGTTATAAGAGGGAACAGGGGTTGAAAATCCAATCAGTTATGGAAACTTGTTGGTAAAAGGTTAAACAATTTCCAACTGCTCAAAGTTAAATCATTATTACAGGACTGAACCTCAGTCTCCTGAGTGTACAGAACTGTCTGCAAGCACACCCAACACACTGCTTAATAACTTACACTAAAAGCTACCAGTCTTCTTGGATGTATACTTCTTAGAGGCTTCTTTCAACCCAAAACAAAGATATGCGGTGGGTATTCGGCCTAGAGTTCAACACAAGGGTTTCCTGCCTGGCTCTGCTCCTGATCCCAGCTTTGGGCTAAGGCAGACCCCGGAGGCAACTTCCGCGGTTCAAGAAAATGGGTTCCTGCCGCCCCCAGGGAGACGTGGATTGAGTTCCTGGCTCTGGCTTTGCCTGTAATTGAGGAGTAAACTGGCAGATGAGAGCTCTCTCTTTTGTTAAATAAATTTGAAAAATAAAATTCCAAACTATAAAAACACGTGAGAGCAATCATTTCACCCTTTTTTTAATGTTAAAGGCATAGGTTTTAAAACCTCTGCTTAACAAAGGACTAAATTTTAAGAGGCAGAACAACAATCCAGAAAGTCAACTCTAATTCAAATTCTATCCCAACCTGAGAGATTATAAATGCACACACTTATTTCAAGACTATTTCAAGACTCAGGGATTGCAGAGACTAACACAAACTCTACCTAAAATCTGGCACCTTCCTTTAGGAATTCTATAGGACAGATCCCCAAGAAAGTAAGCTGTAAAACAGGATAGCGTGTCGCAACAAAGATAAAAAACAAAATCCTAAGAACCAATAGCCTTTCCACGAGGTAAAATATTTCAGGGCGTGCGGGCAGGTGCCGCAGCACGGCGGGTTAAGCCGTCACATGGGGTGCTGGCCTCCCGCCGCAGTGCCTGGTTCAGGAGCCGGCCACTCTGCTCCCTGGTAACGCACAAGCTGAGAGCTCGGCGGGGTCCCCGCTGAGCCTGCAGTCCAGTTTCTGCTCAAGTGCATCCTGGGAAGCAGCAAGTGATGGCTCAAATACTTGAGTCCCTGCCACCCAAGTGGAAGACATGGATAGAATTTCAGGCTCCTGCTGACCCAGCCTAGCCCAGACCTGGCTATTGCAGACATAAGGAAGGTGAACCAGTGGATGTAAGATAGTGCTCTCTGCCTTTCAAATAAATAAAAATATTTCAGGGACTGCTTAAGTGATATTGGAGCTGGATCCAGAACGAGGAAGAAGGGAACGTGGCTGCACGGCCCTGGAGGGGAGGACATGAAGGAAGAGGGGAATGTGGCCACGTGGCCCTGGGAGGGGAGGACACTGAAGGAAGAGAGGGACGTGGCCACGTGGCCCTGGGAGGGGAGGACACAAAGGAAGAGGGGACATGGCCACGTGGCCCTGGGAGGGGAGGACACTGAAGGAAGAAGGGGATGTGGCCACGTGGCCCTGGAAGGAAGGACATGAAGGAAGAGGGGGATGTGACCGCGTGGCTGTGGGAGGGAAGGACATGAAGGAAGAGGGGGATGTGGCCGTGTGAGGGGAGGACACTGCAGGAAGCAGGGGACGTGGCCACGTGGCCCTGGAAGGAAGGACATGAAGGAAGAGGGGGACATGGCCACGTGGCTGTGGGAGGGAAGGACATGAAGGAAGAGGGGGACGTGGCCATGTGAGGGGAGGACACTGCAGGAAGAGGGGGACGTGGCCACGTGGCCCTGGAAGGAAGGACATGAAGGAAGAGGGGGACATGGCCACGTGGCTGTGGGAGGGAAGGACATGAAGGAAGAGGGGGACGTGGCCATGTGAGGGGAGGACACTGCAGGAAGAGGGGGACGTGGCCACGTGGCCCTGGAAGGAAGGACATGAAGGAAGAGGGGGACATGAAGGAAGAGGGGGACATGAAGGAAGAGGGGGACGTGGCTGTGGGAGGAGAAGACATGAAGGAAGAGGGGGACGTGGCTGTGGGAGGGAGGACACGAAGGCAGGGAGAACAGAGGGCACTACACAGACGCCATTCCCGACACTGCCCTGCACAGCCGCAGCCTCCCCTCCAGGCCTCTGCACCCCTGCTCCTCCCCGCTCCTCAGCGAGAACTCATCGAGGACCCGGTCTCCGACACTCCCCCTTCACGGCTCTGTCCTGTCCGCTGCGCTCATCACCACCTGGCAGCCCCAAGTCGGCTGCTTCTCAGCTGTGTCTGTGCCCCACCGGCACAAGCAGCAGTCTCCCGCTCTCCTCCAGCTTTTACGCCCAGCCCTCCACCTACCTAAGAGACAATGCGTGGGTGCACCTGGTCCTCCCCGAATGTCCACGGCGGACCAGGGGCCAGGAACTCAGCTCAGGCTTCCCATGCCGGGGGCAAGAACTCAACCCCCGGAATCCTCACCAATGTCTCCCAGCGTGTGCCCCCGGCAGAAAGCTGGTGGGGCGCGGACAGGAATCACACCCAGGCACGCCGGATGAAAGAGGCAGGCATTTTAACCGCCAGGCCCGATGTCTGCGCCTTCTCCAGACTTTCAAACAGTGTCTGTACACTCAGGAGGTAAACGACAATGCTTACAAATGGATGAAACCAATGCATCAGAAAGCTTCACCTCCACAGAGGTTAGATCTGGTGGAGGATTCAGAACCAATCAGTGATCTTAAATTATTCCTGAAAGACAAATGCAATTTATCAAAGACTGATAAACAGACACGTCTTCTAGGACCCCACTTCTACACAGCCAGTAACCAACACATTTTTTTTTAATACTTTGCAGCTCGCTGCTCCCATCTCAGGAGCACTGTCACTCATGAGCCACCAAAAATGCCACCTGAGCCCCACTGCTGCCCCAAGTGCCTCTGCCCACGCTGACCGAGACGGCCACCGACCGAGGACAGCGGAACTGCACTTCCTTCCCCCCGGGGCAGGAGAAAGACCCGGTCCTAAACCCGCACGGCACGAGTGGATCCACTGCCCGTATCGGGGACGCTGCTCACTGCGGAACTGTGGTTCATTCTACACCTGAGGAAGTTTGTTTCTGAATTCTTTCTATGGATGGCACCGGCGAAACGGCTAGGAGAGACTGTCAACAAAGGCGAGTACTGTATGCGAAGCAAAAGGGAAACAATTTAGTGGCATTTTTTTTTCACTCGGACGGAGCAACCAGAATCTCATCCTGGATGAAAATGACGGTGGAATTCGGCGGCGCGTTCCGATTCAGGTTGGACGGGGCGGGGGGCCTGGAAGCGACTCTTCATTGCTGGCCCCAGCACACAGCCCAGCAGCCCGGATCGCTCACTCCAGCTAACGCCTCCGCGTCCGCGGCTGCGTTTCCAGCACTTGTCAAGGCAGCAACGACCCCCATCTGGGGCTGTCGTCTGCCCTCGCACGAGCCGCGGGGGCGTCTCGGCCACCCCGACACCACACGACAGGCGCACCTCCCGCTAGCCCTAGCCGGCGGCCCGGGCCCACCCACCCTCCCGCACTCGTCAGCAGCGCCCAGCGTTATTTCCGCTTCCCAAAGACACGCTGTCACCGGCACTGCTATTCACCAGAGGCGAAACTGTGCACCAGGGCCAACTCCCTCCCGCAGGGATACGCCAGGCCGGAGGCTGCGACCGCGGCTCCCGGGCGGCGCGGACAGGACCCGCAGGTCCTCACCGCAGACACCGCCGGGTCGCCCGGGCTCGGGGCCAGGGGCGCACGCCCCGGAGGCCGCACCGAGCGCGGAGGCCAGGGGCGGCCCCGGGAGCAGAGCAGCCAGCCGGCGCACCTGCCGGGGCCGCGGCCGCCAGGGCCCGCGCCGCCGCCGGGGAGCCACGTCGGAGGCCGGGGGCGGCGGGGCGGGGGCGGCCGGCTCCCGCCCACCCGACGCGGACAACCCCGAGCCCCAGGCCCGCCGCGCGCCGGAGGGGGTCGCTCCGAGGCGGCGGCCGCCAACGACTGCCCCTCGGCCGGCCCGCGGCGGCCGGACACTCACGTAGGGCTGGTAGAACTTGGAGAGCCGCGGCTTCCCGTGGTTGTTGAAGATAAGGATCGCCTTGATCATGGCTGGGCCGCGCCGGGCCGACCCGGTGGGCGCTGGCGGCCGGGGCGGGGGCGGGCGCGCGAGCCTCGCCTCAGGATCTGGCCGGCGAGCCTTCCCCACCCGCCCCCTGCCACGCGCGCGCGCGCGCTCCCGAGCCGCGGGGCGGGGCCTCGGTGGGGCGGGGCCGGGAGGGGCGGGGCTGGCTCCGAGGAAGCGGAAACATGGACCGGGCGGGGCCCACAGGGCGCGGGGTGTCTGCGCGCTGCGCCGCCCAAGAGGACTTTACCCACGACCCCCTTCCCGAATGTCTCGCTCCGGAGTAGACATTATCCGCTACCTTAACGGTCAGAGCCAGCGACAGCTCGACTTGGGGGACTCACCGGCGACCCCAACTTCCACTGTCGGGTCAGACTCCCCTACAGCTGAGCGTCCTTTGAGACACTCCACGTGCAGGGCCCGCCCCCCGCACGTGCTCAGCCGTCACTTCCGCCCCCCGCTGCCTCCCAGGGAAGATGGCGGAGGAGCCGGAGGCAGTGTTGCCTCTTCCTCCGCTCGCTGCTGCTGCTGGCGGCGAAGGACTCCCGGAGGGCTCCCCGGAAACAGCCACGCCGGAGCCCCCTTCTTCCGCTGCCGTCTCCCCGGGGACGGAAGAGCCTCCTGGCGACACCAAGAAGAAAAGTAATTTGGGGAGCTTCCTTGTGGGCAGGGAGGTGGGTGGTTAGACGCGCGCGGCTGCAGGGGTGGAGGCCGATAAAGAAGCGAAATTCAGAAAGCAGGCGGTGAGCGCTCTCTGAGGGAGCGCCCCTCGCGGGAGCCCGCTCGAACACTCGGGGGCGCGCAGCCGGGCCCGGACCACCGCGTCCGGCCGGGCAGCGCAGCCTGGGCCAGCCCGCCCGCGTCTGCAGGTGCGCGCCGGCTGAGGTCTCGGCAGCTCTGCGCACTAGCCGAGGAGCGCCTCGTCTGAGTAATGATCAAGGCGAAAAGACTTAGAATTCCTGCCCTCCACCCGTCCGGGGTTTTCCCACGGTTGAGCGTAAATTCACTTCTTGCACCAAAAACAAAAAACAAAAACCTGGAATTTTACGCAGCGCGAGAACCGCCAAGGAAACAGTAAAGGCAGAGGCGCGCTCTGCCCGAGAGTGTGGGCCCTCTGCAGGCGAGATGGGCCCTCGAGAGTTCGCGTGCCCCTGTGAACTGCGGGGTGCTCTGGGGTGAGCTGTCCTGAGCGCTCTGCAGCGTGGGAGCTGCCCGCAGGACAGACGAAAGCCGGGCTGGAATCCCGAGGTTGCCTCGTCGCGGGCGGGCGGCGCTCCCTCCGGCCCTTCCCTCCCTGCGGACCCCCGGCGCGGCCCTGACCTCAGGGACCCGACCCCTCCCGCCCCGCGGACCCCCGGCGCGGCCCTGACCCTGGGGACCCGGCCCCTCCCGCCCCGCGGACCCCCGGCGCGGCCCTGACCCCGGGACCCGCCCCTCCGCCCGCGACCCCGCGCGGCCTGACTCAGGGACCCGGCCCTTCCCTCCCTGTGGACCCCCGGCGCGGCCCTGACCCCGGGGACCCGGCCCTTCCCTCCCTGTGGACCCCCGGCGCAGCCTGGACGCCGGGGACCCGGCCCCTCCCGCCCTGCGGACCCCCGGTGCAGCTCTGACCTCAGGGACTCGGCCCCTCCCTCCCTGCGGACCCCCGGCCCGGCCCTGACCCCGGGGACCCCCGGTGCGGCCCTGACCCTGGGACGGTCCCGTCGCTCCCCCGCGGTGCGCTGGGGTCATTTCTGTAGACACCCACCGCGGTATTTCTCCAGCAGAACCCTGGAACTCACAGAACTCTGGCTGTTTTTTTCTTCTAGTTTACCATAAGCAGGGGCAAACTTCGAATTTGCTGTTGTGATATAAAACTTGGTTTCTAGCGAGGAAGAAAGGTGTTTGAAGCAGGCCAGGGTTCTCCCAGCCGCGAGGCAGGGTGAGCGGGGGAGATGGTGGACCTAGCAGCCGCCCGCTCCGAGGGCTGAGTAGCTGGTGCTGACCGTCCCCGGGCTGGGCTGTGCCGTCTGGCTGCGGAGGAGTGAGCACCTGTGGAGTAAGAGCCGCTGTGATGCAGCTGGACCCTGCTGTGGCCTTGAGCGGCCCTGCTCCTGCTGCAGTCCCGCCCCTCCTGGGGATGCCTGGTTGAGGCTGAGCTGTGGGCTTGGCTGACAGAATCCCCTCTGCTGTCTCCAGTGCGTCCCTCTTCCCCAGGTAACTAAAGCTGGGGTCCCTAAGTAGCTCTGGAGCTGAAGGCTAAGTGGGAAGAAACCAGCGCCCTGGGTGCTTGGCAGGAATAAACTCGAATAAATTGGGTCTGACTCATTGCGTCTCAGCTTTGAATGCCAGAGCAGCAAGGCTGTGAATAGGATGGAGCTAACTTGGGGTTTTGCATTTTGTTGTTGATTCCCTTTTCATTTTCCTTATTTAAGGAGAATAACTTTCTTCGTGCGACAGATTCCTGGTCTTCGGGTTTGTGTCATCTGTACCTTGGGTCTTTGAAATCTTGTGATTTCTCAGACTTATTTCTGGTTCCTCGTTGTGTTTTATTGTCAGTAACTTACTGTTTTCCTTTATTTAAAAGTATATAGCAGAAGACTAGGTAGTTAGGAAAAATGTAAGTAAAACCAAATAATGTTTGCCTGTAATGCCACTTTAGATACAATGGTTTTATACATGGTTGTGAGTTTTGTGCTAGATACAGGTCTAAGCATGTGTTAACTCGTCTGATCCTCACAACAGCCCATGAGGTAGGTGCCATTATCAACGGAGAAACTGTGGCCTGGTGAGGGTAAAAGGTTAGGCCTGATAGCATACGTATCACAAAGGGCACAGCCAGGATTTATAGATGTATTTCATTATTTATTTGAAAGACACTTACACAGAGACAGAGGGAGAGAGAGAGAATGAACAGATGAGCAGCCAGAATTTAAACTGTCATAGTGTTTATCTTATTTAATCCTTATTGGGTATTTACATTTACCAAGTCTTATTTTTCCTGTTTATAAAAAAAAATACACTTCAGTGTGTCGCTCCCCCTCTTCGCGGAGGAACGACACAGGACCCTGCGCTGTTCTTTCGTCTGCTCGGCCCTCCCCGGGTTTGCTGCTGGTTCTTCCCGGGTTGGCTACTATCCCTTCCACCTCCGTGGAAGGGCAGTTCCCCCTAGCCACATTCCCCACTTCCGCAGGGGAGCGGCACACCGCCGGCCGGCTCTCTTCGGGGGCTGCACAGGTGTTCCTTCAGCTAGATGTTCCCCTTAGATGTTCCCCATAGATGTTCCCGATGCATGCCGTCTCTCTCCTCCTTTATAGTCCTCCTCCGCCAATCCCAACTCGGCTGCCCACACGCCGAGTACGCTGCTCTCCTCCAATCAGTAGCAAGTCCTACAGTTTATTGGTTGAACTGGAGGCAGCTGTGTGGAAGCTGTTTACTTCTCTCCCAGCGCCATATTGTGGGAGAGCAGATGCATAGAATAAGTCTTAATTCCAGTAACTCAGTCTAGTCCGGTTTGCTCCCCACACAGTGAAGGTAAACTCCTTCTAAGTGAATCTTCGTGCATGTTAGGTTTTCTTAGACTACGTTCCTGGAAGTATTATTGAGTCAGAGTGTATCTTCAAATATTGGCATAGGTATTGGCTTGTGTGCTTTCCAGAAAGGGCACCATTGTGTATTCTCAGTGGCAGTATCGTCTGAACTATTATTCTGTGTCTTTACTAGTTTGGTAGGTGAAAAAAACCATGATGTTACTTGACAGGACTATTACCGTGAATATGAATGCTGCTTCATGTTTTTATTGACTCTGAAACTGTGTTTGGAATCAGCTGTTACGTCAAAGTGCATTTTAGGAATTGGCTCCAGGGGGGACAACTTTGGTATGGTCTGGGGAAGAAATGGTGATAAAGAATATTCACATTTTTAGATCTGTAACATTTTTATCATAAACATGTAATACAGATAGGCTTATGTGTTATAGTCCTTTCTATTAGAATCTCTCTGGGTGTTTCAGTGGAATTGTGAGTGATTGTTTTTCTTTCTACCTTCACAGTCGACATCCTGCTGAAGGCTGTGGGAGATACCCCTATCATGAAAACCAAGAAGTGGGCTGTAGAGCGAACAAGAACCATCCAAGGACTCATTGATTTCATCAGAAAGTTCCTTAAGCTTATGGCCTCAGAACAGTTGGTATGAGACCAGCAGGCGCTGTTTTCCTCAGTTCTTAGACAGCAGAGCCGAGCCTGCCACATGTACAAATGCACGTGCAGCCGTGAATGCTACTTTGTGGAGCTCTTACCTTTCTTAGTGGTGGGATCAATGTGCTTTCTGGCAGGGTTTTCTGGGGAAAGGTTTTATTTATTTCATCCCAGTGTTGACTTTTTCCATTTCTTCTCGAGGTGAGCAGTATGTCTTTGCTATGTATTATGGTAGAGCTAAGAGTTGAAGTTATTTTGTATTGTAGCATGTATTAAGCATTTTGTGGTGTATTAAATTTATATCAGACTTTTGCTTTATTTATGAGGAGGTGGGGAAACAGAAAGAATGCCCTCGTCTGCTGGTTCACACCTCAGCTGCTTGCATGTGCTGAGGCTGGGCCTTGCAGAGACCGGAACCTCAGGCGGCATCTCGGGTGGCAGGAACCCAGTACTTGAGCTGTCTCCAGGGCTGCACATGAGCAGGAAGCAGAATCGGAAGCAGAGCTGGAACTGGAAGCCGGCACTGCACTGTGGGATTGAGGGCATGCCACGTGCTATGCCAGTCGCTTTAGTTTGTTATTTGACTAGGAAATGAAAGTGTCTCCGTGTCCCATCATGCATCACTTTTAGCAATGGGGACATGTTCTGCAAAAAGTATGAGTGGGTAATCTGTTTTCACGAGGACATTATAGAGTGTGCATACACAGACCAAGACAGCTGTAACACCACTAGGCAGTGTAGTCTTATGGAACCACCATTTTCCAGGGGGTTTTTTGTTGAGGAAGCATCATCATGTGATACGTGACTGTGTTTGGTATTTTGGCAACAGTTAAATTTAAACTGTGTGTGAGAAACCTTTGTCTTCAGACAGATGGCAGGCTTGCACAGTATTGCTGTAGATAGCATATGAGTGGCTAGGCAATTGAAGAACCAATACGTATTTTTAAAATACAAATTAATTTGTATGTGTAACCATGGGAGGGGTGTATTTGCTTGTGAACCCAGCAGTCGTGGGTTAAAATGAGCATACCAGTTATTGATGCTGAAAGCGTTTGAAGTTTATTTTGTCAGTGAGGAGCAAGGAGCTGACTCAGATGGAAGAGTTTGGCCATCAGTGGCTGTCACAGCAGGAACATCGGTGTGAAAGTAAATGCAAGGTGGGTTGGGCACTAGAGCTAGAGGCAGGAAGAGCATGAAGCAGCAGGCCTGCGGGGAAGGTCGTTCTGGTAAACTTTGGGAATATTTGCGTTTTAGAGGTGAGCGTCTCCCCTCGTGATGCTCAGTGAGTGTCACTAGAGTTGATTGCAGGGGACTGTCAGCTGGGCAGCAGATCTGGGCGTCACCGACGCGTGTGCAGCTCAGCCCTCGGTAGCTGAGGACTTTGTCTGCAGTTCCGGCTGGTGAGAGGGGCGAGAAAGGAGCCGTGGCTGTGTCACTGTAGTGAAGATAAGCACGAGGAGTGAGTAAGGTAGGAAAGCAGAGGAGGACGGGAATGTAGGGGCCGGTGTTGTGAGAAATAGAATTCATGTTCTTTGAAATAAACCATAGTAAAATTGATCATCCTTTCCCACATAAAAGCAGTAGAAAGCAAAAAAAGACTTAGATCACTTTCCTGGATTAAACTAGAGCTCACATCTTCTTTTGTCTGGCTCTTCCCACGTGATTTTAGCGAAGTAGATGTTACAGAAACATATTACTAAGAATTCTGGGAAGATATTGGTATCAGAAGGTGTAGTTGAATCTTGAATTTGCAAAAACAAAAACAAAAAACCTCATCCACTGGATAGCAAGACCAAAGACCCGTGGTTGGTATTGATGAGCATTACAGAATTGGGCGGCAAGGTTCTTAGAAACACCAGACATAGTTAGTGAGGACAGCCACCCACCACTGCAGGACGGCCCGGGTATTGGGTCAGTGCTAGAAGCAGCAGCAGGCCACAGAGTTGGCATCTGACAGCGCTGGGGAGAGAACCTCAGATGAGCCCCCAGGTCCTCACCGCACAGCACAGTGGCCCCACGGAAGGATGAGAGCTGAAACTGGGAGGGCTTTTGTCCTCCTGCAGCTCAAGGTTATACGCTGGCACGCGGGGCCTGAGCAGTTCCAGCAGTCCAGCCCCTGAGAGCTTTCAAAATACACTCAGTAGGGTTAAGAGGATCTTGTACTGAAGAGAACCTGGGAAATTATATCAGAATTGAATAGGGTAGTAATGCAAGGACCCGATGCAGGAGCTGGGAGCAGAGCCTGTTTATTGATTGCTACTCAAGAAAACAGCAAGAGCAGCTCTGTTAGGTCAGAAAAGCCAGCCTAACCCACCACATTGTTAGCGTTGAGAACATCAAGGCCAAATAAAATAGTCTGTTAATGTTACAGGAAAAAAGAACAAGACCAGAATGAGCAGTTTTTTAAAGAGTTACAGATACAGATCTTCCACCTGTTGATCCACTCCTCAAATGGTCACAATGACCAGGGCAAAGGCAGGAGCTTCTTCCAGGTCTTCGATGTGGGTTCAGGGGCCTGAGGATTTGGGGGCATCTTTTGCTTCTTTCCTAGGCATGTTAGCAGGAGCTGGATTTGAAGTGGAGAAGCTGGGGTGAACTGGCGCCTATGTGGGATGTGAGCGTTGAGGCGGCAGCTTGACCCATTATGCCACGATGCTGGTGACTTTAAGCAGGGCACAAGCTCTTGGTGATGTGCAGGAGCTTGGAGAATTTGATTCTCAGGACTCCATTGCGGGAAATCTGCTAGAGAAGGAGCAAGCACGGTGGTGATTCTGAGGCAAAGGGTACCGGTTACAGCTAGAACTCCTGCTCCTGTGCTGCGTTGGGAAGCTTTCTTCCAAATAATCTACTTGGGTTAACCCAGGGGAACTGCATCTACTTTAAAGTGACAAAATCTGCTTGTTCCTTCAGTGGAACACAGATCATAATAACGTGCTGTCTGTGTGGAGCTTTGTAGTATACAGCACAGTTTCAGCTCAAACTAGCTGAATGCTGAATGGCCATCTTTTTTCTTAGGGGGTGGGGATGGCCGAGAGAACTACTGGCTCACTTCCCCAATACCCACAGCACAACAGCCAGGGTAGGGCTACCCCAAATCCAGGATCTCAAAACTCACAGAGTCCCCCACGTTGGTGGCAGGGACCTAGGTGTTTGAACAGTCACCTGCTGTCTCCTAAGGTTCGCATTGGCAGGAAGTGGAAGGTGGAGCAGGGACTTCTAAACCAGGCTTTCTGATGTGGTTCGGTGGGAAGTAGGCATCGCAGGCGGCAGCTTTGCTTTTTGTTGCCATTGTTACAGTCACGCTGGGTTGCCGACTCTGTTACAAAGCCACGTGGAGGCCCATGGCGCCCATGGCGTTCTGCTCCACCTGCTCTAGCCCACACGGACCCTATGCAGCTTCGGCGTCTCCTGAGCTGCGTGCTAGGCTCTGCTAATGCCGCCTCTGCCCTGTGCCTTGTTAGGTGCTTCTTCACGTGCACCCCCAGCTCTCCGTGTTTGCCTGCCTTTCTGGTGAGTCAGAGCTGCTGAGGGCCGAGATCATAGTGACCCATTTCCCCACGTGTGCAGTTCTCGCTACGTCACAGGCGCTTGCTTTGCTGAAGTGAAAACTGTCACTGGGAGCCGTGCTCAGTGAAAAGACAGCGGATGGAAGACCCCTCTCTCTGCTTCCGCCTCTCTGCAAATCTACTTTCAGATAAATCTTAACAAAAAGAAAAAGGAACCAAAAGAGTAACATCCATGTTCACTCAATGACTGTCAGTAGTGATGCACAATTGTATCTGTATTGTAGGATAGCCATAGTAAGGTACACACTGTTGCTACTTCCTGTTAAGTTTCTGCAAATTTTATGGTAGAACATCAGGCACCATTTCTTGATTTGTATGATTTCATTTTATCTTTCCTAGTGATTACAAGAGGTGTAAGTAGTAGTAATTGGCCATATCTCTCAGTCAACTGTTGTGGTACTATTTTCCTTTTTTTTTTTTTTTCAATCTATGCTAAACCAGGAGTTACAGCTAGATCGGTAGAGGGATTTTTTTCTCCCATTATTTGAGAGATGGGGAGACAGATCTTCCATCCACTGATTCACTCCCCAAGTAGCCAGGGCCGAGCCAGGCTGCAGCCAGGAGCCCAGGTCTCCCAGAAGGGCTGGGGGACCCAAATGCCGGAGCCACCAGCTGCACCTCCCAGGCACACACGGTGGAATTGGAGGAGGCCTGGAACCCAGGCACCTCAGCATGGGATGCCGGCGTCCTGGGCGGCACCTCAGCCCACCGTATTGCAGTCCCTCTGCCTGGCACATTTAACCTCAGAGGTTGATTACAGGTATAAAGGGAAAGTGAACGTGTTCAATGCAAATAAAGCTTTGTTTTCCAACATGAAAATCTAGAGCCAAGTAGACGCTGACTTTTTGTTTTAGTGTCTGACTTTTTGTTTCAGTGTCTTCTGGAATTTTAAGTAATAGGAATATTTTAGTAGAAAGGTGCTAAGCTGAAACGTTGAGCAGCAGTTAAAGAACAAGGTCGAGGTTGTGAGGCCCCAAAGCTTCACGTGTGTTACCATTTCCTTCTTCATTGGCCTGCAAGTGATGGCTGGAGCAGCACCCAGCCTGGGAGGGCCCTGGAGGTGATGATGGCGGAGCAGCACCCAGCCTGGCAGGGCCCTGGAGGTGGTGATGGCTGAGCAGCACCCAGCCTGGGAGGGCCCTGGAGGTGATGGTGGCTGAGCAGCACCCAGCCTGGCAGGGCCCTGGAGGTGATGATGGCTGAGCAGCACCCAGCCTGGCAGGGCCCTGGAGGTGATGGTGGCGGAGCAGCACCCAGCCTGGCAGGGCCCTGGAGGTGATGGTGGCTGGAGCAGCACCCAGCCTGGCAGGGCCCTGGAGGTGATGGCGGAGCAGCACCCAGCCTGGGAGGGCCCTGGAGGTGATGGCGGAGCAGCACCCAGCCTGGGAGGGCCCTGGAGGTGATGGTGGCTGAGCAGCACCCAGCCTGGGAGGGCCCTGGAGGTGATGGCGGAGCAGCACCCAGCCTGGGAGGGCCCTGGAGGTTCAGACAGTGAGGCGTGTGTGTCGTAAACTACCCAGGAAAAAGGTGCTCATTATCTTTTTTTTATGCTTTTTGTTGGTTTTTGGCTGTGTGTGAAATTTTGTTAGAAGAAATTCTGTCTCTAATTATTGGTCAGAACATTTTTTTGTGATTTATTGAATAACCTCCAAAAAGCACTTGAAAAAATTAAAAATTATAAAATGTTGGGAATAAAAATTACATTATTGCTCTCAAGGAAAGAAATTGAGGAAATGAAGAGTTTTGGGAGGCTTCCTTCAGTCTGAAAACAGTTGAAGACAGCTGGCTGATTGAAACCCAGCAAATGCAGCTCTGTCAAGATGGCATTACAAATAAGTCTCTCTTTTTTCTTTTTTGTAGTTTATTTATGTGAACCAGTCCTTTGCTCCTTCCCCAGACCAAGAAGTTGGAACTCTGTATGAGGTAAGCAGTTACCGTGTCTGTCTGAGAGTGGGGTGTGCCCCAGTGCTGTGTGGGTACTGCAGCTTGTGTGGTGTGAAGTCGCATCTTGAGTAACCGGCATGCCATTCATGACCAAGGAAAGAAGAGAGAACTTGTCTGTCTCTCGACACCTTGTACATGCCAGGATCTTAATAAGTTACACAGTGATAGAAGATTCAAGGAGGAAGTTATTCTTCAAAGCCACATTTCTTTTTCTTCTTGGAAAGTAGGATGTCCTTTTTCTCCTTCTAGTTTCTTCCACGTTGTTCACATAGCCCATAATCCAGAGCTGCCTCAAAAAATGAGCGAAGTGTCTAAGAACAGTTTTATTCATCATTTGTGGAATTTAATGGTAATCATTAGAATATAAACACACTACCAGAACCAGGTAAAAATGTGTGCGTTATGGTCAGGCATCGGGAAGTTAGGGTGAAAGGCTGGCTCTCGGAGGGCGGTGAGCACCCTCCTTTTCTTGGCCGGCCGGGCCTGCGATCCGCTCCCCACCATGTGCAGGAAAGGGCTCCGGTCCCCTCGGCGTCATGTCTGCCGTGCCGGCTGCTTCCCATTCGCCGGTTCTGTCCTCCAGCAGTGAGACAGGGCAAAAAAAAAAAAAAAAAAAAGGATTAAACTCTGTAAGCCAGTTCCTACGGGTTTGCATTAAATATTACAGTAATTAGATGTTTCTGATATGAAGAGGCATCTTTTGGAAGAAGTAGTCTTGTAATACGGTAGCATCCATATGTGGATATTTAGGATACTCATAATTTTGTTTTTCTTGGTTTTAACCGATAACAGCAATTGAGTTTGATTTGTTTTTTTTATTTGTCTTTTTTCTTTTTGTAGTGTTTCGGCAGTGATGGCAAACTGGTCCTGCATTACTGCAAGTCGCAGGCGTGGGGATGAACCACAGAGGGAAACTGCTTACGACATAGAAGGACTTTGCGCGGAGGAATCGGCTCTGCGGCCTGCCCAGCATGCCTCTCCTGTACCCTAGTTTAAGCATAAAAAGGGCCATAGATTGCACGGGCTCAGGAGTGTGACCAGAGTGAGACACTGACCATCCTAAAAGACTGACGAGTGTGCCCCTTGCTCCCACCCAGCACGACTGTTGAGGCTTCTGATCTGCCTTCAACATAGAATCGGAGATTAAGATGTTGCATGGTTCTTCACTGCTGTGTCTCGAGTGACTGATACTGTCCCCTTGGAGAAAGGCCCTGCTGGTTTTTTTGTAGTGAGTTCATTTCCTAGGGAATTGCTTTCTCTCCTCATTGTTCAGGAAACCTGTTTGGGGTGGAATGTTAACTTTTTTGTGTCTACCATGTTGTTCAGCAGCTTCACTGACCTGCTGGCGGAATACCTTCCGTAGTCCAGCAGGGGGCAGCCCAGCTGGCAGAAAAGGTTTGGCAGTGTGGGTTCACATCTTTGCTGGTGGTGACAGAGGACAGGGTGGTTCTTGCTAAGTTCTAGCAAACATCTCGCTAGGGGAACAGGCATGTTGACATGCGGAAGGACTGTTCTAGGGAATATGCAAAGTGCAGTTATTAGGAAACAGGAATGTTGTGAATTCTGGACTAATGAGTCATCCGAGAGCTGTCAGTCCTATCTGAGTGGTTCCTGGGCCCTGTGGTGTAACTGCAGCATCGACTCTGACTCTGTCTACACAGCAGTCAGCGCTTGCTGGGTGAGCCTGGCAGAGCACCTTGAGTGTTTTCAAGTGCGTTTTCCACGTCGAAAGCCCTGGAAGAATAATTGAACTTTAGCTTCCTGTCACCCCTAGAGCACTGCTTTTACTGATACCATTGACTGGTCATGTTCCCTGTGAGAATTCATCTTTTTCTGTTGTGTTTGTTGTCATATTTTTTGTAAAGCATTCTTGGAAATTGAGTGCAATGTCCAAATGGGATCTTAATGTGTACTGGAATTCCAAGTATCTTTTTTCAAAGGTAGTGGTAGGAATGATGGGATTTTAAATTCCAGAGTGCACATCCTGGCTGTTGTTCAGCCTTACATTAGCACCAGAGGCATGCTGGTTAACAGTGCCCTTCGTGGTGAAGAGATCACTGTTGAGTTCTTGTCTGCCCCAGACCGTAAGTTCTTGGTTCCTTATATACCAGTGTGTCTCTCTGGTAAATTCATGCAGCCAGTGGTCAGAGTGGGGTAATACTGACAGGCAGAATTGTGCCATGTTACGAGATTAGGAAACAGACTTGTATATATATAAGTTGAAAGAAAACCTGGAAAATGTATTTTGAAGTCAAGTAAGTTGGATATAGGAGGAATCTGTTCCCTGCTTTTTGGTGACTTAGAGTTTACTGAAGGAGGTGAATTTATTATATGCATAGGTATTTAAGAAATAGCAAAAGTTTCTTGAGTTTGTATGTTTGCTGCCAGTATGAAATAGAATATAATGATAGAATGTAATGATAGAATACCTACTACCTCGCAAGTTTCCAAGATGCCACCCAAAGGAAAAAGTGGTTCCGGAAAAGGGGGGAAAGGAGCAGCAGCTTCTGGGAGTGACAATGCGGACAAAAAGGCTCAGGGTCCCAAAGGTGGTGGCAGTGCAGTAAAGGTCAGACACATTCTGTGTGAAAAGCATGGCAAAATCATGGAAGCCATGGAAAAATTAAAGTCCGGAATGAAATTCAGTGAAGTGGCCGCACAATATAGTGAAGATAAAGCCAGGCAAGGGGGCAACTTGGGTTGGATGACCAGAGGGTCCATGGTGGGACCATTTCAAGAAGCAGCATTTGCCTTGCCTGTGAGTGGGATGGATAAGCCTGTGTTCACAGACCCACCAGTTAAGACAAAATTTGGATATCATATCATTATGGTTGAAGGGAGAAAATAAAATCATATGAATAAAAAAAAAAAAGAATACCTACTACCTCAACAACCAGAAATCTGAGTTTGAAATTTTAACATCAATTTAATTATTCTATTTGACCAAAATAGCTTGTTAACTTATTAAAGCTAAGATTAGGGGGCCGCGCCGCGGCTCAATAGGCACGGCGCCAGCACACCGGGTTCTAGTCCCGGTTGGGGTGCCGGATTCTGTCCCGGTTGCTCCTCTTCCAGGCCAGCTCTCTGCTATGGCCTGGGAGTGCAGTGGAGGATGGCCCAATGTCCTTGGGCCCTGCACCTGCATGGAGACCAGGAGGAAGCACCTGGCTCCTGGCTTCGGATCAGCGCGCCTGCTGCGGCAGCCATTGGAGGGTGAATCAACGGCAAAAGGAAGACCTTTCTCTCTGTCTCTCTCACTGTCCACTCTGCCTGTCAAAAAAAAAGATTAGGGGGCTGGTGCCATGATGCAATAGGTTAATCCTCCGCCTGCGGCTCCGGCATCCCATATGGGCACCGGTTCTAGTCCCAGCTGCTCCACCTCCAGTCCAGCTCTCTGCTATGGCCTGGGAAAGCAGTAGAAGATGGCCCAAGTCCTTGGGCCCTGCACCCACATGGGAGACCAGGGGGAAGCTCCTGGCTCCTGGCTTTGGATCAGCGCAGCTCCGCCATTGTGACCAACTGAGGAATGAACCAGCAGATGGAAGACCTCTGTCTCTCTGCTTCTCCTCTCTCTGTAACTCTGCCTTTCAAATAAATAAATAAATCTTTAAAAAAATATATTATGCTTTCATCTTTTAAAATATGCCAAGGACTTAAATGAGTTCCATATGTTTAGGGCATAAGGTAAGTTAAGAATGTTTTATCTGTATCAAAATAAGATTGTATATATCCTGGAATCTCTGATTTCTACAAGTTTTGACCTTAAAAGAAACCTTTAGTATCATCACCTTCTGTAATCAAGTGAGAAAACTAGAAGTTCGTAATATGCCTCAGGTTATATAACATTTGTCAGTGCGGTTAAGGAATATGAAAAGGAGAACTACCTGTCATGCAGCTTTTGCTTCATTTTCTGGGAGTTAAGGTATGCAAGGCAAGCTCCTGGCACTTGGAAATCAAGCGTCAGCCACTAATGAAAAGCATTCAGGAATCAGCCATTTTAGTCTTATTTCTGGTACATAATGTGTGTCTATGAGTACCTGTGATCAGTAATGTTACTTCTGTGGAGTGAATGAAATTAATTACAGTTGGCAAAATGTAAAGGAAAATGTGTAATTTATTTACTTAATTGAGAAGCAGAGAGTTTGCATCTGCTGGTTCACTCAGAATGTCCACAGCACCTGGGGCTGGGAACTCAGTCTTATTCTCCGGTGTGGGTCGCAGAGGCCCAGCTACTTGAGACGTCACTAGTGCCTCCCAGTGTGCACATTAGTAGGAAGCAGAAGTCAGCGGAGCCAGGACTTAGCAGACACTGGCATAGGGGATGCAAGCGTCCCAGCCTGCGTGTAGCTGCTGGGCCAGACACACTTCCTACTTCACGTTTTTGTACGACAGAGGTAGTGGAATATGTTAGCAATGGATGACGGGTGTCTTCTGTGTTGAGAAAGCACAATTCGAAAAACAAGTGGCCAAGAACACATGAAAACCCTGTTATTAAGAGAAAAAACCCTATGGTTCTAAACTATCATTAATGATAAAAAGTGAAACTCTTGTGCTTGGCCAAGTTGTAGAGAATTCTTGGTGAATGGTGCATGAACCGGGTGCTTCATCCTCAGGAGGCAGCTGGACATTATCTAGTACAAACTCAAAACGGTGCAAAGTCCACTTGGTCATTGACGTATGAGAGCCCTCTGGCCCTCTGTGTGCTTGAGCTGATGGAAGACCGCTAAAACCCCTGTTCCTGGGACACTTCCATTCTAGTTGGAAGGAGTGGGCAGGTTCTGAAATCCGAATTTAAATCTTGAACTTTTAGAGTTGAATTTGAGTCAACCCCAAGTGAGAAGAATTCCAGTGAGTCACCTCCCATAGATCCTTTATATCATCGCAGCAAATACAAGTCTTCAGAAATCTCGTGGGGAATATGTGATAGGAAAAAGCTGGCTGGATTTCAAGTTTTTTACACCAGAACTATTCCATTTCCCCCTGAACTTCCTGAAGTCCCCTCGTAGCACATACAACAGACGATTTACTTCCGATAGCCCCGAAGAGCCCATCCGTTGTGAGATGACTCATTTTCATACAGAACTGTCTTCCTTACAGGGCATCAAAACCTGCCTCCCTGTTTATTCCAACCCTCTGTTCCCAGTTAGAGTACCTAGATCTGCAAAAGCTCGTCTCCCGATTCCCACTGCAGTGTTCCCAGCGTCCTCTAAATAGCAAATGCACACTCGCCGCTGGTGAGACTTGTTGACTCCTGTCCTGGGCTGCTTTAGTCTATCAGCAGATCCTGACGGCTTCACCTTCAAAACATTCAGAATCCCAACTGTGTGTTACGGTTTTTACCTCCTTGGCCAAAGCCATCTGTGTTCTTCCTCTCGAGTTGTATTTGGACATTGGTGTGTCCCACCCTCCTTCCATTAAATATAAGCCACGAGAACGGTGACTTAGGTGAGCAGTGCTCTTGAAAAGGTATCAGGTGGTTCGGCAGGTCGGTGTACGTGGTTAGTCTCTCCAGACCTCTAATGAGTCTAGTTCCTTTTTCTAGATGTCTGTCCCCATACCAGTGTCTGGCCGTCCGTCTCTAAAGATTTATCTATTTCAAAGGCAGAGTTAAAGGGAGAGAGAGAGCTTCCATCCTCTGATTCACTCCCCAGATGGCCACAATGGCCAAGGCTAGGCCAGCCCAAAGTCTCCCATGTGGGTACAGGGGCCCAAGTAGTCCAGCCATCTTCTGCTGCTTTCCCAGGCACGTTAGCAGGGAGTTGGGTTGGAAATGGAGCAGCCAGGACTCAATCCAGCACCCATATGGGATGCCTGTGTTGCACACAGCAGCTTAACACTGTGGCACAATGTCTCTTAACGCTTCAGTCACATAGAACATAGAACTACCTCAATACATCTTGGCATTCTACTTATGTAATAGAGCCTATAATGCCACTGACGGGTGAGGTTGCACTGGCAACTCTGCGGGAGAATTCTGGCATCAGTCTACTAAACAGCTCTGAACCTCAGGACCCCTACAGAAAGTCTGGCAAGTGAAGTTACCAATTACCAATTTGCTTCACCATGCGTGCACCCAGATATTTCTTGAGTAGCTGTCCTGCACAAAGTACTAATGAGGATATAAAAATAAAACTCAGAGCCTGTGCTAAGGGTTCGCAGCCCCCAAAGAGTGACGAATGCTCAGGCTCCAGTTGTCAATGCAAAGAAATTGCCAATCTGAGAGGAAAGCAGGTGCTAGACTTTAAAATTTGAACATGCTGGCCAGCACCGTGGCTCACTTGGCTAATCCTTTGCCTGCGACACTGGCACCCCGGGTTCTAGTCCCAGTTGCGGCGCTGGATTCTGTCCCAGTTGTTCCTCTTCCAGTCCAGCTCTCTGCTGTGGCCCGGGAAGGCAGTGGAGGATGGCCCAAGTGCTTGGGCCCTGCACCTGCATGGGAGACCAGGAGGAAGCACCTGGCTCCTGGCCTCGGATCGGTGGCACAGCGCACTGGCAGTGGCAGCCATTTGGGGGGTGAACCAACGGAAAAAGAAGACCTTTCTCTCTCTCTCACTTTGCCCGTAAAAATAAATAAATAAAAATTTGAACATGCTGAAATGGCCTTGTAGAATACAGGCAGAAGGAAAGGAAGGGAATTAATCCAAAGGGTCTGTATTGGGGGAGCTGGAACCATGGAACCAACTTCTGGAGGCTGGCACAGGAATCCAGCCGCAATGAAACAGACTGAAGGAGAGCAGCAAGCATTGCACGGAGGTGAATCCTGAGAGGAATGGAGGCAGAGACGCTGCAGTGACAGAGAGGGGCAGTGGTGCTGGCGAGGTCCCCGCAGAGCCCCGGCGCTCGGCTGCAACAGGTGGAACCTCTGGACAGGAGTTGCAAACACTGAAGTGGCAGAGGGTGTCAGACTGCACCCAGCTGTGAGAATGGGGAGGCGCCAGGTGGAGGCTGACACTGCCTGCGGGCCAGGGGAGGGTTTAAGAGCACAGCCGGTGAGGAAACGCGAGTGTGAGTGACCAGCAGAGATCCTCGAGGACACTGAAGATCCGCGAGGGACTGGAGAACGCAGAAAGTGAACCGTCAGAGGAGTGCCAGATATGCAATGCGAAGCCTAAGCTCGTATTTGATTTCTGTTGCCGGTTCCAAAGAGGAATGGGTTAGGAGAGCTGACGATAGGGAATTAAGGTGCTCCAAAATTGAGAAGACAAAAGTGTGCAAGTCAGTGACTCCCGCAATACCCCGAAGGGCACCTGCGGCGGCCAGTTCTGCGGGAGTCCAGGATTTACAGTCCTGAGTCGGAATCATGCCCTAGGAACCCACACTTGCATTTCCTCCTCCACGTGTTTCTTCTCATTTCAACCTGGTGTAACTCGCGGCGCTCCCCAGGCACGCGAGGCGGGGACCCACGACACGCAAATGTGTCTCGGTATGCGTGACCCCAGAGGCGCAGGCCCCGGACCCCCGCCCGCGGCCGCCAGCAGTCAGTGGCAAGGTGAGAGTCCCCCACCGGATACACCGCTGGGCAGCGTCTGAGACTACAGCCAGAGGCTCCTGGGGGCTGGCTCTCCACCTTCTCACCCTGGAGAGACCCCAGCCGCCTCTGTGCAGACGCGACCGACGTCCCGGCTCTGCGTCTCAGTGCAGACACCGGCCCCTGCTTCGGACCCCAGCCAAGCTCCCAGGCGACCGAGCAGCCGCGCCCAGCCCCCTCCGGATTCGCTGACCCCCAACGAGTCTTCAGCTGCGTTTGGCAGGAGGGGGTCCGCCCATGCCCCGGGCCGTCCTCCCCAATCCTTCCTCCGCGGCCCTTTCTGTCCACGTCTGGGCAGGGGGCCGCCTGCGGGGAGGCTGCGCGGGGCGCGCGCTGTGGTGGGCGGGCAGACCGCGCGGTTGAGGAGGGGGCGAGGTGCCCGAGCCCTGCCGCGGGCGCAGGGCAGCGGGAGACAGCGGGGCGCTTGGCAGCGCCCGCAGCGAGCGGGAGCCCCGGGCTGTGCGCATGGGGGCCTGGTCGGCACGCCCTCCCCGCCTCCGCCGCTTTTCCGGGGTGGCTCCCACTCGCTCCACCCCCCGAGGGCCGATGGTTCAGTCCCGAGGCTTAAAAGCGGCCCGGGAGGACGCCCTCGGCGGAGTTGATGCGGGTTGGCGAGCGCCGCGCTGCCTGCGGTGGCGTCTCGATCGCGGGGGCCAGGGAGTAGTCGGTGCGTGCGGGCTGCGCCTCTGTGTGCCGGTGCGCGCCTGGGCCCCTAGCCCGCAGCCGCAGCGAGACGCGCGCCTGGGCCCCCGGGATGGAGCCGACCGAGGTGCTGAAGCCACGAAGCCTGGCCGACCTGATCCGCATCCTGCACCAGCTCTTCGCCGGCGACGAGGTCCATGTGGAGGAGGTGCAGGCCGTCCTGGAGGCCTACGAGAGCGACCCCGCCGAGTGGGCGCTCTACGCCAAGTTCGACCAATACAGGTGAGCGCGCCGCCCCGGCCGGGCCTTGGGTCCGCCGAGGGGGCGCAGGGCCCTAGCTCGCGCAAGGTGGACGCTGCCGGCCTCGCTGGTGGAGACCGAGGCGGCCCGGCGCGCGGCAGGCTCGCCCGCAGCTCCGTGGACGCCCGCGGCGGTGCGTCCGGCCTCTGCCTGGCGACACTGCGCCCTGGCTGCCCTCACCCACGCGCCTTCGTGACCGCCGACCTGCCGGGTGCCCGGTTGGTCACATCAGCCACCGGGTTTCAGACTGAATGCGGCGTTTCCAGCGGGGCACGAGCCGCCTCCTCATCCCGTGGTGCGGGCTGGAGACGCGCTTCCCGCGCGCCGCGGAGAAGCGGGGTCCCGGCCGGCCTGGGGCGCGGGCGGAGCTGCGTGTCCGCGGGGCAGCAGCTCCTGCGTCCGCAGGGCCGGTCGGGGAGGGGAGGGAGGGAGCAGAGGGAGGAAAACAAGCCCAGAGTCCGGTTTGTTTTTCTTGGAGGCGGTTTTCGTGAGTGCTGTGAGGTTTCCTCGGCCTTCCTCTCTGTTGGAGGACTTGCATTGGGAAAAGCGAGTCCCACTTAGGAGCCCACTGCCCACCTGCAGGTAGCAGTTCCCTGGGCCCCTGTCGGCCCGGCTCGTGGTCGGTCCAGCTGTGGCTGAGAGTGACGCTGCTACAGTGTCCACGCTCTCAAGTGCTGCCCGTGTGCTCTGCAGGTGAACAAGGGCTTGCGGGGGCCAGGACCCTCCTCAGAAAGGCCCGTCGTGTCCCTGGTCACCGGCGGAGGATGGTAGGCAGGCAGCAGGCTGCGTGACCCACACAGACTGCCTCTGTCGGAGCTCGGGATGGCGGGGCTGTTCCAGCTAACCCCGGCACGCCGCGCTGTAACAGGCGGGATAGCGCGTAGAGGGACTTTGAAAAAGCCCATGGAAAAATGGAATTAAAGGAAGTTTACTTGGGTGCAGAAAAAGCTTGCGCTCAGAGGCGGGCATTGGGCATGCTGGGTGGGAGGCCCCTGTCCCCCAGCCACCAGAGCCCTTGCAATTCACTCTGGCTCCTGGACGCAGCTTCCTGCTGGAGCAGACCCTGCAGGGTGGCTGGAGGATCAGCGGGTGGGGTCCTGCCATCTGGGTTGTTCCTGGCAGCTGGCCTGGCCCAGCTCTGGCATTTGCAGGCATTCCGAGACTGAACCAGCAGTCTACCCTCTCCACCCTCTCACTTAAATAAAGAAAGGCTTGAAGATGTCTGGAAATCAACGTGTGGTTTTATCATAATAGGCATTTTTACTGTGAACGTTTTGCAGATCTCTTGTGTATCTGACTGGCTTATTATTGTCCAAGCGTTATTGACTAACCAGACTGGTTTGTACCAGCTCTTAATTTTTGGAACAAGGTCACTTCCAGGGGCCTTGAGTTATTTTTTTTCTTTGCAAGTGGATTTTTCAAATATTTATTTTATTTATCTGAAAGGTAGGATTAGAGAGAGGGAGAGTCAGAGGGAGAGACCTTCCAAGCGCTGGTTCATGACCCACATGGCTGTAACAGCTGGGGCTGAGCCAGGTCGAAGGCAGGGCTCCAAGCACTTGGGCCATCCTCTGTGGCTTTCCCAAATGCATTTGCAGGGAGCTGGATTGGAAGTGGAGCAGCCAGGACTCAAAGCAAACCAGTGCTCATATGGGGTGCCATAGAGCCATGGTTTAACCGGCTGTGCCACAGCGCTGGCCCCTTGTGAGTCTTGATTGTGAGCTCTGAACTGCAGCTGGTGGGGTTGGCGGATCTGCGGGGCCGTGGCTGCCGCTCATGCAGAGGCGGGCTGGGGTCCTGAGCAGGCAGTTTCGGAGGAGAGGGCTGAGGGGAATGAGCTGCCTCTAGGACTCTGCACTGAGTGGACGCCCAGCACTGGAGGGGTTCTCATCCTTGCCTCTGCCGGGACCAGTGCAGAAGAACCAAGCAGAAGTTGTCCCGGTGTGGGCCAGACAGTAAATCCTCCCCACCAAGCACCCGGAAGCCGGGGAGGTGACCCTTAAGACTGGTGGAGGCACCCCAGATTGCTGTGAATTTTAATACTGTGTGCACAGCCCCTGGCCAGGTTGTTAGGAGCTGCAAAGTCAGGAAGAAGCAGCTCCCTCCAGGATCCTGCCCTGCAGGTGCCCCGGAGGGGAAAGGGTGAGGACAGGCAGGACCGGAGTAAGGAGTAAGGAGATGGCCCAGTGGACAAACCCCACGGAAAGTACAAGAGTCAGATTCCTCCCAAACCAAAGTGTGGATCAGCGTCAGAATCAGCCAGCCTGGCTGCTGAGGTCGTGGCAAGAGGACCCTTGGACCAATAAAAACCCAGGTTGGCTTTTTTTTTTTTTTTTTTTTTTGACAGGCAGAGTGGACAGTGAGAGAGAGAGAGAGACAGAGAGAAAGGTCTTCCTTTTTCCGTTGGTTCACCCCCACTATGGCCACAGTGGCTGGTGCACCGCGCTGATCCGATGGCAGGAGCCAGGTTCTTATCCTGGTCTCCCATGGGGTGCAGGGCCCAAGCACTTGGGCCATCCTCCACTGCACTCCCGGGCCACAGCAGAGAGCTGGCCTGGAAGAGGGGCAACCGGGACAGAATCCAGTGCCCCAACCGGGACTAGAACCCGGTGTGCCGCCGCTAGGTGGAGGATTAGCCCAGTGAGCCACGGCGCTGGCCCCAGGTTGGCTTTTTAACCTGGTAATGTGGTGGTGACAGCTGTTTGGGTTCGGGATTAATTTTCTCCCCAGTGGTTGGTGGCTCCTGGTCGTGGAAGCTTTAGAGTTCCCTGCCTGCCTCCCACGGGCTGCTTTGTCCTGGCCGGCCCCCACGTTATTTGTGACTGACTTTTCAATGTGAGTGCTTTTGAATGTGGTTTGTGTCCCAGCTTTACCAGAACTAAGAAGAATTCTAGAGCAGCTATTTAATGAAACCTTGTTTCTCAAGTCCTGGTGTAGCTACAGGGAGGCGAGGCAGGGAAACAATGGCAGCATTCTTGCCTGGAGCAGTGTGCACTTTGCAAATACCTTCTGTGAGAAACTTGGTCTTTTTTATCAGCTTGACGCTCTGGGGCGGAGAGACATGGAATTTGCTTCTGTTTCCCCTGTGCTGTTTCTTGTATCGTCCACGGAAGCCACCCAGCCTCCTCTGTAAGCGTGTTGACTCTGCGTGCAAAAATGTCCAAGAGGCACTGTGAAAACAGTTCTGCTAGCGAGAACCTGCAGTCAGAGGCGCTCAGTGGCTCATGAACGCCGCTCTCTGACTCGTCTCTTTTTCCGGGGCTCGTGTCAGCATTCGGATTCCACCTTCGGAATGCGTTCTTTCTTTTAGATATACCCGAAATCTTGTGGATCAAGGAAATGGGAAGTTTAACCTGATGATTCTGTGCTGGGGTGAAGGACATGGCAGGTAAGACCACCGTTCTGTCGTGTGAAGCCCGTGGCAGGTGAGACCACCGTTCTCTTAGGAGCTTCTTTGGGCACCTGGCCCTGAACAGGCAAAGCACACCCCATGCCAGGCCAGCCATGAATCCTGCAGAGACTAATCTCATAACTATTTGTGCACTGGCTCCCCTAATCCTAACAAGAATTCTCATGAGTATTAATGTGGGACGTTCAGGCACACGCCATGTATATTAAAACCAGTTCCCAGGGCAGGTGTTTAGCCTCGTGGCTAAGAACAAACCAAAGGGAAAACCATTAAATGGTCAGAGATCTTCTCAGTGTGCCATTATTATAGACCATTATCTTTCTGCTGTTTAAGCGTTCTCGAATGTTCTCTTCAAAATCAAGTTCTAGCCCCACTTACTGAATCTGTTAAAAGCTGGGTGGAGATCAAAGCTGGCAGGTGTGTGTTTTGTTCCCCAATTACTATGACAACAAGGGTACAGAAAACTAAAGTGCATCCCTTTCGCACATTTGGCGTGGGTGACACGTTATTGTGTTAGTTTGCCCTGAGCAGCAACGTTGAAAACTCCAGCTGCAGCGGGCTTGGGCCTGGGCGCTGTCCTGTTGACCGCGAGTGGGGTCAGCCGCGGCCTCGGACCGTGCCCTGAGCCACTGTCCTTTGTGCCCACGCAGCAGTATCCATGACCACACCGACTCCCACTGCTTTCTCAAGATGCTGCAGGGGAATCTCAAGGAGACACTGTTTGCCTGGCCTGACAAAAAGTCTAACGAGATGACCAAGAAGTCGGAAAGAACCTTGAGGGAGAACCAGTGTGCCTACATCAATGGTAACCTTCTCTCTTCGCGGGGGCAAGCGGGAGCACCGTGCCCTCGTCTCAAATGCCGGCTGCTTCCACGTCTGCGGTGGGACCTGGATCATGGAGACGTGATTGAAAGTGCTCGGGAAATGCGCTAGCCGCAGTGGGTTTTGTGTGCTAAAGCTGTGCCTGTGGGTCGGAATTGCTTATTAAAAACATGTGCGTGCAGGGCGTGTGTCTGAAAAGTCACATACCTGCCAACGTTTAGGACCGTTAGAACTGAGTGTGAATGTACGTGTGTCTGTCCACAAGAGGGTTAGGATCAAGTTGCAAGTATTCGCCTCCAAGTGTAAGGACTGTAACGGAGTGTTCTGGAAGTGATTAATTCTGAGTGGTCCCTGTTTTTCCAGCTGCATGCAGTACCCCTACAGGAATGTTCTCCCGGGGAGCTGAGGGAGGCGCAGGATCGGGCGGTGATGTATGGCTCTCTGACCAAGAACTCCTTCTTTTCCCTAAATGGGTTATCCGACAGCCAAATGCTTTTCAGGAGAGGCAGTGATTAACTTCTCTGTTCCTCAAAGGGGTAGTAACTTTCCAAAAAGCTCATTAAAACTTACATGAGTTCTTTTTTTTAATTCCCATTTCCACATGAGGCTGCCTGCCAACGCGTAGGAAGACTAAATAACTTGTCCAAGATGCCTCAGCTTTCAAGTGCGCATTGGACTTGAACCCGCGCCACTTGATCCCTCAGCCCAGGCTCTCACTCAGGATGCTCTCCGAGTTACCTAAGAGAACGCACTCCAGGGATCTTCTGGCGAAGCCAGTCCTTTCTTCCTATTCTCCAGTCTGTTCTTGGCCTTGATACTTGGCCTGAATTTGTTCCATCGATAATTACTTTAGGATCACAAGGAGTTGATAAGGGTCAGATTGTATGCGAAGGTTTTTTTCCCCATTCACATAGCCCAGAGCTGTTAATTTCCGGTGTAGCAAAAAACGGATTCATTTACTCAGCCATTTGAGGGTTGCTATATATAAGTTACCCCGGATTTCCAAGAACGGGTCTGTCCCCTGTGTGGTTCACGGAGAAGCCAAATGCCTTTCAGAATAATAACTTTCAGCTGCCGTGGGAGTCGGTGCCGTGGATTGGACATTTCCAGGGCTCTGCAGTCCGCATGGAAGCCACCCAGAGGGGCGGCAGCAGCCCCCAGCTGCAGTGGGGTTGTCCTTATTGCTTGCCCTGCAGGAGTTGAGCCTTCTGGCTTTTATGTGAAGCTGTGCTGGTCAGTGAGAATGTTTGGAGGGATTTGCTAAGAGCTTCTGTGGACACCATGTGACTCAACCACGCGTTCTCGACCTCTGGTTGTCACAGGTTCAGTAGGGGTGGCTGTGGGTAGTGAACGGGGAAGGGCGTTTCAGGGACGAGTGAAGCACACGGTCTGTCGGGGAGCAGGGAAGCCGGCACTTAGAGGGGTAAAGCGATCCCGGGACCCGGGCCTCCAAGATCACCTTGAACTAGATGCATGCGGTGGCATGTCTGGCCCCTTTGGCAGCAGTGCAGGCTGGAGGAGAGGGGGGAATCAGGACAAGGAGACCACGTCTAATGTAACAGGCAGGAGGTCCCAACTGAGCCCCGGATATCAGCCGGAGAGCCCCGATACTACTGTGGCCGAGGGGTACCATGAACGTAAAGAGAGAGGAGGCAAAGACAGGAACCGCAGAGCGACAGTGATGCCGGGGTGACTGACAGCGGAGGTCCCTGAACCAGGGGCACTTGGTTTTGCAGGGTCGCCCAGCATGCACTGTGATTACAGAAACAATGTGTCCAGAGGCAGGCAGTGCGCAGAGCTGGTGAACCTGTGTGTGGAATGGTGTTTGGGGCTGGCGTTGGCACAGCAGGGGAGATGCGCGTGGGCTTGCTGAGTGCCTTGGTGTGAGTGCCGGCTCTCTGGGAGGCAGCAGGTGGCAGCTCAAAGACTTGGGAGGCCCAGACTGAGCTCCTGGCTTCAGCCTCGCCGAGGCCCAGATGTGGGCATCTGAGGTGTGAACCAGCAGATGGGGTCCGTGTGTGTGTACTTCTCTGTGTGTATGTGTCTGCCTTTCAAATAAGATGGATGAAAATTGTAAAACACAATCGTGCTTAAAGGCAGTATGTTACAAAAGCAGTAGGCTGTAGGATCAAAGAGATGGAGGGCCTGAGAATTTGGTTCCATTTCAAGAATAAAGAGAACTGGGGATGCCAGAGGCTGTGGCTGGTTGCCAGGCAGCCTGACTGGTCCCCTGAGGCAGGCGTGGCACCCACCTCACTGGCTTCTGGGCCTCCTTGTCTGTAACACGCTCCTGGGTGCCCTCGTTAATTACACCGAATTTCTTTTGTGATCAGCTCCTCTGCCCCCCTCCTAGCTGCGAAGTGTCATGTTGGTGTTTGACTTTGAGACGCTAGTGTTTTGCCACAGGACATGGGTGGATTCTAGGCCAAGGCTCGGCTGCCACGGTGGGCTTCTCGGTTGTCCCAGGCGATGGCCCCGCTCTCTGCTGCCCTTGGATCCCCTGCTTCCCGGCCCCTGTGTTGTCCTCCATTCACACTCCTGTCAGAAAGGATCCACGCGGGTGGAAGTGTAAGACCCCAGTAGGTAAAATCTTGTGCAGCTCTTATCTTGTCTTAGTGGACACGTTCTCGTCTGAAGCCTCATGCCATTCTGATTCCTGAATCTTTCTATGAAACCAGTTTTTTCCTTTCTAGAAATGTTCAGGATCTGTCCTCAGGGTTCTGAAATTTGGCAGTGATGAGTCTGGTTGGACTCACTCATGGTGCTGGGCAGTGGGTGGGACTCTCTGGCCCGTAGTTTGAGAAAATACTGTTCTTTCCGAGAGCTCTGGGGTTTCTGTTTCTGCACCTCCTGTTTGGACACGGAACCTCCTCAGTGGGCCCTGTTCTTTCCTTTCCTTTCCTTCCCTTGGGTTTTTCTGCCAAGGCTTCTGCTCAGGTTTTTCTTTCCAGTAGCTCAATTTCTTTGCAGTTCCTTTTGTGGCATTTTTTCCCGTCTCCCTTAGGACATTAACGATGGGTGTGTGTGTGAATGTGTGTGTGAATGTGTGTGTGTGTGTGTGCACTGACTAGTCAGGGAGCTTTCACCTGTTTTATTTAGGTTTTCATTTTTTTCGAATTCCAACGAGAAGCTACATACAATTGGAAACTGGTAAGCATTGGTTTTACTCCAAAGGAACAGGAGCATTCAGATTTACTCCAATAAAAATATGCAACCCTTAAGCAAAAGCCTTTCTACATTTAAAAGGAAAAAAAAAACCTATACAGTAGTCTTTCTTTATGTTCATTGCACACAATGAGTTCTGCTTTTAGAACTTCGACACTCAGTGGTTATTTTTTACATTTAAGATCTCCACTTTTATAACTCCTTTAACTCTAAAAACAGCGATGGGCCTTTTTGTGTCTGATCTTGAGTGGTCTCTCTCTGTCTCAGTTGCTTTTTTCAGAGTGTTCTGGCCCCTGTCTTTTGTACAAGAGCCATCCTCAAATTCTCGTGGCCTTGGCTGTGGGCTAATGTTTGAAAGCAGGGACAAAAAAAGTTAATTGGTAGCTCTGCGCAGGGAGTGGGGCTTGTCGGGTGGACTTCAGTGTCCAGTCGTCTGGCAGGGCCTCTTCCTGGAGGACCTGAGGGTGGTGTCCGTGGGCCTTTCTCTTGAGCAGATCCAGTGGCCGACAGCTGCCTCCCAGCTCCCACCTGAAGAGCAGACTCCCAGCCGGCAGCTGGGTGCTGGCTAAAGCAGAGATCCGACCCTGCCGTCCACCAGATTTGCTGAGTTTGCCTGGGTTTGAGTGGACACCCTCTGGCTGTGAGGTCGTCTCTTATCTGCTTTCTGGAGAGCAGATCCCCCTCTTCTCCTGGGGGGAGAGGAGAGGAGATGAGAGGAAAGGATTTGTGACAGCTTCATCAGTGGGCTCTCGGGAAGTGGTCATATAAAAGCACTCAACGGTCCCACTTCTCCCCTACTTCTGGGAAGAAGTCAGGCTGTGTCTTGGCTTCCCCACGGATAGCCTAGCATTGAGCTTGCTTGCTTCTGCACGGCCGTCCATCGGCTTGCAAGCCTCCCGTTTTTTACATCTATGCTCTCTTTTCCCGTTTCCTCGTCGGTGTGTCCTGATGCCTCTTATGTTAGGACAGCGGGAGCGGCTTTCAGGCAGGAGCCGAGGCGAAAGCACGTGCGCCTGCTGCTTGACCCGGGAGTTTCATTCTAATCTGTCCGTTCCGTGTGCGTGGAGGTTGACCGCCGATCTTAGTGATGAGGAAGCTTTGGCTGGCGGCCGGCGTGTCAGCCCCATCTCCCGTTCTTCCTTCTCGGCCCTTATCCAGATTCCATCGGCCTGCACCGCGTGGAGAACGTTAGCCACACGGAGCCGGCTGTGAGCCTGCACCTGTACAGCCCGCCGTTCGACTCGTGCCATGCCTTTGATCAGAGAACAGGACATAAGAACAAGGTCACCATGACGTTCCACAGCAAATTTGGAATCAAGACTCCATTTGTAAGTAGCGAGTCTCTCTGTGGCTCGGCAACGCTGGAGGCATTGCGTCTGTTGTCCGAAACGCCACTTGAACGTCTGAAATGTTGATTGTTCTTGAAGAATGAGGTGAACACAGCCTGGGGGAGGGACTCAGTAGATCTTAAACATTTCTGGAACTTTGGAGACTGTGTTTTCGGTTTATAAAGAAAACCATTTAATTTGATGCCAAGAAATGTTTACTAAGAAACTTTGTAGTGTCCGCTCGTTCTGAAAGAAAACACCTGCCCTGGGTTTCTGTGAGCGTGAAGTGCCCCGGCTTGGTGTTTGAGCCGCCCCTGGCGCTCTGACGCGGGTCGCAGGTCCGGTTGGCTGGCCCAGCACGCACAAGGGGCAGTTCGCCTTGCGAGTGAGGTGCTGTAGCCCTATCTGTGGGTTTTGGTGGCCCACTTGCTTTTCCTCTGGGGGTGGTGCTGTTTACACCACAGATGAACCAGCACTGCGAGCGTGCTCCTTTTCGAGGAACGGGCCTTTGTACCTAAAGATACTAAGGCACCCGGCCCTGACACGTACGGCAGTTTCCCACGCTGGGGAAGTCAGCTGGCCTTTCTGTGGTCATCGGCATGTCCTGAGACAGTGCACGGGCACAGAGACTGCAGGCAGTCCTCACGAATCTTACGGACACACAGCCCTACGGAGAAGCCGGGGCAGGGGCCTGTCGGTCTGTGTCGTCCACATTCCCGGTGCCGAGAGATTGGCATCGCAGGAGCTGGGGGAGCAGGACTTCTGAGGACAGGCTCGTGTGTGTCCCGGGGAGAGTGACACAGTCTCCCTCTCACGCAGGTGACTGCAGGTTCGCTGGAGAACAACTAAGGAACAGCACGCCCGCTGCGGGACTACGAGGTCCCCTGGACGCGTGCCGTGGGCAAGCCTCCCTCCGCTGCTGTCGGGGACACACTCAAGGAAGCCAACGCGTCTGTCTCCTGGAAGGCAGGTGCTGATTCTACGGCATTACGTCAGCAAGCAGCGTCTGAGCTACCAGAAATCTCACAGAAGACAAATAAGTCTTGTGATTCAAAGGCCAAATCAATGCTCTCCCATTTCTATCTCTGAACCCATTGAAAGCAAGCGGAGTTTCCGTTAGGGGTTTTTTTTAAATAGCTTTTGGAAACACTTTGGTCTCTGCACTGTAAGTAGCAATAAGTAAAAACAGAAAACCAGACATCAGATGCCTGCTCTGTTATTTGGGGGCTCAGTGTAGATGGACTTTGTATGTTCTTAATAGTTGAAGAGAAATTTCTGCATCTGGGAATTTTATTTTTTCGACCTCATTTTGCAAATTCCTTTTCTATGGGTGACAGGCACATGCCATTTGTTATTGAAATGCAGGGCAGAGATTAAACCCAAACCCGTAACGAAGCCAAAACAGGAACTTGTGTCTCTTATGTCCATGGTCATAGTCGAAGATTTTGTACTGCTTCCAGAGGAGCCAAGCGATTTTAATAAAACTGGATTTGAGCACAGTTTAATGTTGTCTTTTTACCTTGGTCACAAACTTCCTCTACATCAGTTGAGATTATTCCTTGGACTACAGCAACAGACACGTTTGTGACTGAGACTATGAGAGGTCCAAAACCCACTTAGCTCTAGGGGCTTCTCGTGTGTTTTCCAATTGGCCAGAGGTGGCACACGGAGGGCCTTGCCTCTGGTGTGGCTCCTATGTGTGATTAGTGTTGCCTAAAGTCATGGTGTGTGTATGTCTCTGTGTGTATGTATGTGATTGTGTTATGTGTGTGTGTTTGTGTATTCATGTATTTGTGGGTATGTGTGTGTATATCTGTGTATATGTGTTTGTGTTGTGTGTGTATGTGTTTGTGGGTATGTGTGTGTTTGTATTTGTGGTGTGTATGTGTGTTTGTGTATGCATGTGTTTGTGGTGTGTGTGTTTATGCATGTGTGGGTATATGTGTGTTTGTATTTGTGGCATGTATGTGTGTTTATGCATGTGTTTGTGGGTATGTGTGTGTTTGTATTTGTGGTGTGTATGTGTGTTTGTGTATGCATGTGTTTGTGTGTGTGTGTGTTTATGCATGTGTTTGTGGTGTGTGTGTTTATGCATGTGTGGGTATGTCTGTTTATATGTGTTTGAGTTGTGTGTATATATGTATTTGTGTGTATGCATGTGTTTGTGGGTGTGTGTGTGTGATGTGTATGTGTGTTTGTGTATGCATGTGTTTGTGGTGTGTGTGTTTATGCATGTGTGGGTATATGTGTGTTTGTATTTGTGGCATGTATGTGTGTGTGTTTGTGTTTTTGTGGGTATGTGTGTTTGTGGGTATGTGTTTGTGTGTGTATATCTGTGTATATGTGTTTGTGTTGTGTGTGTATGTATGTGTTTGTGTGTATGCATGTGTTTGTGAGTATGTGTGTATTTGTGGTGTGTGTGTGTGTATGCATGTGTTTGTGTGTGTTTATGCATGTGTTTGTGGGTATGTGTGTGTTTGTATTTGTGGTGTGTGTGTGTGTTTGTGTATGCATGTGTTTGTGGGTATGTGTGTGTGTATATGTGCTTGTGCTGTGTGTGTATGTATGTGTTTGTGTGTATGCATGTGTTTGTGGGTATATGTGTATTTGTGGTGTGTATGTGTGTTTGTGTATGCATGTGTTTGTGGGTGTGGGTGTGTGTTTATGCATGTGTTTGTGGGTATGTGTGTGTTTGTATTTGTGGGGTGTGTGTGTGTTTGCATGTGTTTGTGGGTATGTGTGTATTTGTGGTGTGCATGCATGTGTTTATGGGTATGTGTGTATTTGTGGTGTGTATGTGTGTGTGTTTATGCATGTTTGTGGGTATGTGTGTGTTTGTATTTGTGGTGTGTGTGTGTTTGTGTATGCATGTGTTTGTGGGTATGTGTGTGTTTGTGTATGCATGTGTTTGTGGGTATGTGTGTATGTGTTTGTGTGTGTGTGTGTGGCTGCAGGGGAGCAGCCTGACAGTTCCTCTGTGCTGAAATCCACCTGTCACTGCTGCCCGTGGTCTTGGGTTAGGTTGGCCGCCTTTTCCGGGCTTTGTGACCCGTACCCTCCCTCCCTGGCTCTGTCCTCAGAGCCAGCAGGTGCAGCTTTCCTCCCTCTGCATCTCCTCGTTCTGCTCTGTGCCTCCATTTCCCCTTCCTGCTTGGAGGGACTCGAGATTAAGTGGCATCTCTCAAGCTCAGACATGGCCGTGGCCCGTGGCCACATCTGTGAAGTCTCTGCTGCATCCCATGAGGGATTCCTAGGGTAAGTGAGTGAGGATGCGGCTGCCTGTCACTGTCTTTCTTGTCCCCAGGGAGCCTTGTCCATCACACACACAGGACAAACTCATCCTCCTGGCATCCCAGTCTTACCCCTTCACAGTATCAGCTCAAATCCCAAACCTGAGCCCAGATCTCGCCGTCTGCATTGGCTGTGCGACACGATTCACCTGCTGAGCACCAGGAAGAAACGCTGGAAGTCGTAGAGTCAGAGCCAGCGAGTGACCAGCAACCTGATGGGAAAACTCATTCCCTTTGCATTCAAGGCATTCAGGAAGCCTGGCCTTTGTTGTGTGACCCATTATTTTAAGGCATAATTACGGCATTCTCTTACTCCTGTGGCACCCTTAAATGTGTACTAAGTAGCACCTTTAACACACAAAGGAGGTAATATCCTATGCATAATGGTTGTGCCAAAATGTAAGTCTGAGGATTCCCGTGCCTGAGACAGCCCAGACGGCCCCTCCCCGCCAGCAGCCATGCTCTGCCCACCTGTGCTGAGTCCCACACAGGGCAGCCCCTTCCCCAGGTCTCAGCAGCCCACGTGGTGAAGCAGTGGCTGTGGCAGGGGCCCAGTGGGTCATGCTGGGCTCCCGTGGAGGGGTGGGAGGGCAAAGGGGGGATGGCCTGAGAGTGGGGAGGGAGGGGAGTGAGCCCCCACATGCGAGAAGTGTGTGATTGGGCACAGCTGCCCTGTAGTACTGACTCCCACATTGTAAATGCCTTCAGTGGGATGCAGGCCCCACTGGGGAGAGACAGCATCTCACTAGACGCTGTGTCCCGAGCTGTAGCCACTGCTACAGCTGACACGCAGCAGTGGATCACTGGCTGTGGAGCGAGTGGCAAAGACCCCAGCCTCCTGCCCAGACGGCTGTGAGTTCAGGGGCCCCTGGAGTGGTCCTTGTGTGTGCCACCAGTTCAAACGTGCCATTATTTTTACCAAGCATGGCAGTTTATAATGAAACAAATAGACCAGAAAAATAAATGACAGTTCTAAGGATCTTTTTTTAAAAAGATTTCTTTTAAAGGCGGGGCGTGGGGGGAGAGACAGAGACACAGCAAAGAGATCTTTCATCCACCGCTTCACTTCCCAGATGGCAGCAGCAGCAGCAGGGGCTGGACCAGGCGTAAGGCAGAAGGTAGGAGCCTGAGCTCCATCCTGGCCTCCCATGTGGATGGCAAGGGACCACGTTCTTGAGCCGTCCTCTGCTGCTTTCCATTAGCAGGGAGCTGGATCGGAAGTGGGCACCCGGAACTCAAATCTGTATCCACGTGGGATTCCCGTGTCGCTGGTGGTGGCTTGTCCTGCTGCACCACAACACGGGCCCTGGGTTATTTTCTTTAGTCATGGATTTCTGTAAGGCCTGAGCCGGAGACCCATCTTTCAGTGTGGGTTCATTTATCACACAGTTAGGCAAGCTAGCTAGTGATGGAGGCATTTACACACGTCTCACAGGAGCGGACCGCATTCATTATCCTAGTCAGCAGTGGTGCTTGGCTTCTGGGGAATCATGGCCACCTTGAAAAATCTCTGACTACTGCAGAACTCTCCAGAAGGGAACACACAGCAAGTTACCAATTTCAGAAAGGAGTCACGACCCTCCTAAGGCCTTTAGGGCTCTGGGTAAAGAGTTGGCCATACTGGGGCCAGCACTGTGGCATAGCAGGTAAAACTACTGCCTGCAATGCTGTCATCCCATATGGGCGCCAGTTCAAGTCTCAGCTGCTCCTCTTCTGATCCAGCTCTCTGCTGTGGCCTGGGAAAGCAGTGGAAGATGACCCAAGTGCTTGGGCCCCTGCACCCGCGTGGGAGACCCAGAGGAGGTTCCTGGCTCCTGGCTTGGGATTGGTGTAGCTCTGGCCATTGTGGCCATCTGGGAAGTGAACCAGCAGATGGAAGTCTCTCTCTGCCTCTGCCTTCAAACAAATAAATAAATACTTAAAAAAAAAAAAAAGAGTTGGGCATACCTGAGCCAAGGCTTGCAGGGAAGAGGGCCATATGACTTCATTTTCTGGTTAAAAGGGTGTTCGCATGCGGGGCCTCTGGTTAACATTTCAGATTGCAACAGGGTCTCTGGGACGCCTCAGAGGCCGGAGCTGTCCTGTCCGGGGCACGCCCACACATTTCACAAGATCTGTACTCTCTGTTCCTGCAGGCACTTCAGACTCACAACTGTGTTTACCCGGTGTTTTCCTGCGAAGGGAATGTATGTGAGACAGTGAAATAAGCCAGACACAGAAGGACAGATACTGCACGGTTGCCACTTCTGCAGAGAACCCAGAAGAGGCCGATCCCTAGAGACAGAGAGTAGGCCGGAGGTGCCCAGGGGCTGGGGCTGGGGTCGGGTGAGCCGTTCTTGTTTAACAGGTGCCGAGTTGGTGGTGGGTTAATGAGAATGTGTTGGGTAAGATCATGGTGACAGATCCACAGCATTCTGAATGTATTTAAGACGGGTGAAATGTACATTTACAAAGGGTTAAAGTAAACATATTTCCCACAATAGTTATTTCTCAAAAGAGGGAGTGGTGGCTGGGGCGGGGTTGGGGGGCAGTGTGTGTGTGTACACACGTGCATTGAGGGTGAGACCTATGTTCATAAGGCCAGTCATCACCTCCTTTCCTTACCACTTTCTGTGTTTCTTCATTGTTTTTTTTTTTTTTTCTCCTGTTTTTCATACACTGTGTGGCAGTCTGAAGTCAACGTTGCACACTTAACAGGAGGTCTTTCTGTGTGTGGCAGCTCTCAGATGTCGCCTGGTGTGGCTGTCCATAGCTGAGCTCACCAGCTCTCTACGTCAGTTCCAACCTTTTACAATTGCAAGCAATTCTAGCATGGATAACTGTGTACAGAATGTCATTTCAAAGATATCAGTGGGCACATTTCTTTATGGCAAAAAAAGCAAGATAACAGGTCCAGGAAATGAGGTGGCCGCAGGAGGTCACGGCCGGTACAGAGCCTGCCGGTTGACAAACTTGCTCCTGGGCTCCGCTGTCCCCTCTCTGCCCTGGCCGACTGCCCTCTCGCTGCTCCGTCGCCGTCACAGCCGGAAGCTCGTCCCTCACCAAGATTACGCACTGCAGCCAGGAGAGTCCGAGGGCGGTCCCTCTGCCGGGTATTGTGAGTGAGCCTCCAGCCCTGCTGTCCCCGGGAGAGGCCGTGTGTCCTCACCGCTCGTCCGCTCATTCTTGCCGCATATCAATGCGCTCTTTGTGTGGCTGGAGAAGGGAGAGCTTTCTGGGCCTGTCCAAAATGTGCTGCCCGTGTCGCTCACTGAAGGGCGCTTGGTGTATTTACTCTTATTTCTAAAATGTATTTATACTGGAGATGCAGAGACACGGGGGAACCCCCAGCCGAGGTGCCTTCCACCCCCAGGGCGGAGCCGGCCTGAAGCCGAGAGCTGGGAACGTAGTCCGTGTTTTTCAGGGGGGTGGCAAGGACCCAACCTCTTGAACTCTCCCCTGCTGCCTCCCAGGGTCTGCCTCAGCAGGCAGCTGGAGTGGGGAGGCTCCCTGATGTGGGACTGGGTGTCTGCTCACCGTGAGCCAAATTCCTCCCTTGGTTTGCTTTTTGAATAATTCATGGAGACACAAAAAGAGGCCGAGAGATTGACTTTTCCGCAGTGGTCCGAGGGGCGTTCTCATACAGGCGTAAGGAAGTGGCTCTTTGCCCACATGGCGATAGGTACGTTTACCCATGAGGTGTGGCAGTGTTACAGAACACCCAGCCAATCCGTGCAATGCAGGATTCCAGCCCTCCTCGGCACAGCAGAGCACGGAGCAGTGACGCCTGCACCACCGCGACTCCCCGCAGCGCCCCTTCCCTTGGGCACTGAGTGACGAGGGCGAGTTCGTCCAGGATCCGTCTGATGGCAGGCAGCAAGGACACACACAGTCGTGGAGGGGATGCGCCCTTGAGTGAGGCCTTTCGAGAAGTGCAGAAGCTGAGGGTGCGGGTGGCTGGTGCACCTGAGCAGGCCTGTGCTGGCGCAGCTCACCCAGCCCCCAGCGGCTGGCATCTGAGAATGTTGCACGCAGACTGGCAGATTGACGGGCTGCAGCAGGAGCACCGGCCGCGGAACCTGCCCAGCGCTCCAAGTCAGGTGCCTTCTCTCCCCAGAGACCTGTGGTCAAACAGCAGACACTTGCCGCCAAGGCCATTCAGCCAAGTCGGAGTGAGGATAGCGTTTCCTTGGACTACTGACGTGTGTGGTTTTTTTATCCCTTCATTTTCGTTGGGCTTCTAGAGTTTTGAATCCCCTTTGCATACCCACATCGGTGTTTGTTGTTGTCACTTCAGAAACTAAGCCTCTAAGGTTCCGCAGTCGATGGGGTCCCTCCCGGCCCGTTTCAGGGATAAGAACTTCCAGGCCTACATGGAAGCATTTTGCCCAAGGTCACAAAGCTGGGTAATGGCAAAACCAAACACAGACAGCAGTTCTCACCTGGGACTTTTGGCACCTTTGACCAAAGTCCAGGGGGCCACTCAGGTCAGGGTGGACCGAGGGAGCCAAACAGAATAGCTGTTAAGCAGGGACAGAACGCCATCCACGTGGCCAACACAGGGTGACGCCCAGCTTTCCTGTCTGAGTCCTCTCAAGTCGGCTCTGCCTTCACTGTGTGTGTTTCTTTTTTAAAGATTGATTTATGTATTTGAAAATCAAAGTTACACAGAGAGAGGAGAGGCAGAGAGAGAGAGAAAGGTCTTCCACTCGCTGGTTCACTCCCCAACTGGCCGCAACAGCCGGAGCTGCGCCAATCCGAAGCCAGGAGCCAGGAGCTTCTTCTGGGTCTCCCACGCGGGTGCAGGGGCCCAAGGACCTGGGCTGTCTTCCACTGCTTTCCCAGGCCATAGCAGAGAGCTGGATCGGAAGAGGAGCAGCCAGGACTCGAACCAGCACCTATATGGGATGTCGGCGCTTCAGGCCAGGGCGTTAACCCACTGCACCACAGCGCCGGCCCCACTCTTAAAAACACGCACATGAGGTGCTGAGGCCGCATGGACAGGGAGTGCTTCTGTTTTTTCCGAGCGGCTCTGCCTGATGACCCTGCAAGAGCAAAGCCTGGGGCTGTGCCGGGCTCTCTTCCTTCTTTCGACAGGGCACAAACTTTGCGACAATGTCCATGGCACCGGACCAGCGTTCCAGGTTGCTTCAGCTAAGACACACTCGCTTGCAGGTAGCCAGCTGTGACCCAAACTGACCTGAACCAAACAAGCACGTGTAACTGCAAAGTCCAGGGGTCACTCAGGTCAGGGCGGACCGAGGGATCCAAACGTTCCCTTTGGACTCGCCCTTGCTCCGGGGCCTCGGGACTCGGGTCTGCCATCGTGCTGTGGAGCAGAGACTCCCTGTAGCTCCAGGCCTGAACCCCAACTCTGGATTTCAGTTTTGGCAAGATAAGGGGTTATGCCTTTGCAATCTTCCACGGAAGATTCAGCGGCATGGGCTCTGTCTGCATCACAATCCATCCCTCACCCAGCGAGTGGTCCCTGGCCTGGCCTCAAGTGGACACTGGTGCCTTCAGATCAGTGGGTTGTGGCACGCAGGGAGGGGGTGTTACCAAGGAGATCAGAATCTGTTATGAAGAGAAAGATGCTAAGCAGGCAGAATCAACATTTTCTCTACGTGGGTGGTAAATGTATACTATGGAAAAACTAGGTATGGATTTAAAAAAATTTCTTTGCACCCAACACCTTTTCATTCCATTTTCCCCTGGTGTTTTTGAAGCACTCTTGTATTTGTTGAGTGAACAAATAAAGGAGTGAGATGAAGGATGTTGACAACCAAGTCGCCTTTGTAGCCCTGACGACACATTCTAAAACTGCAAGGCCAGTTGTGTCTTCCTGGCATTGTTTATTAAAGGTTTATTTATTTATTTGAAAGGCAGAGGGGCAGAGAGAGAGAGAGAGATGTCTTCCATCCTCTGGTTCATTCCCCAAATGGAGGAGCCATCTGGGTCTCCCTTGTGGATGGGAGAGGCCCAAACACCTGGCAGTCTTCTGCTGCATTCCCAGGCACATTAGCAGGGAGCTGAGTTGGAAGAGGAGCAGCCGGGACTTAAACCTGCACCCATAAGGGATACCGGTGTCACAGTGTCTGCTTACCCTGCCGTGCCACAGTGCCTGCCACATGCTTCCTCTTATTTATACAGTGCATAGAAATACGCTTATTGCCCCAAAGACGGGACTTCTGGGGTTAGGCCCATGGGTGTGCATCTCCAGAACCTAAGCTCCTCCCTCCAGCCCAGCCCAAGTGGGACTTCTTCTCCCATAATGATGGCTCTGGGTAATGTGAAGGCAGACAACTTGGATTTTTTTTGAAGTTCTAGAATTTAGCTGATGGCTACGGCTGTAAACAAAAGGCGCAAACATCTTCGTCTCACAAAGCGAAGACAGAAGTCACTGAGCACTTGGGGTCTGCGTTGCCCATAAGGCCTGCCGGAGCCCGCACCCCGGCTCCACCTCTGCCCCCACCTCCACTTCGGTCCCTGTGACTGGTCAGGGCTGTTAGAGATGCACTCCCGCCCTCACTGCCCCCTCCTCTGCCCAGCTCAGCCACGCCTCTGCCTTCCCTTCAGACCCTGGCCTCCCTGTGCTCTGGGCAAATGCACATTTCCCTCCTCACTGGCCTGTCCTCCTGCCCAGAAGGCACGCTACGCTGCGAGGGCTCTGCCGGCTCTCACAGAGCGGCTCCTCTCCCAGGTGCTGCCCGGTGGGAGGGAGCCGCTCGCTTTTCCTCTTCCATAGAATTGTGTTTCCTGTCTCTTGGAACCCCTGCCCCGTCCCACTCTGCCACGGGCTCCTGGATCCCAGGTTGCTTCCAGTTCCCAGGTGATGGGCTCTCAGGTCCCAGGTGATGGGCTCTCGGGTCCCAGGTGATGGGCTCTCGGGTCCCAGGTGATGGGCTCTCGGGTCCCAGGTGGCTCTCGGGTCCCAAGTGATGGGTTCTCGGGTCTCAGGCGGCTCCCGGGTCCCAGGTGGCTCCCAGGCCCAGGTGGCTCCCAGGCCCAGGTGATGGGCTCTCGGATCTCAGGTGGCTCCCAGGTTCCACATAGCTCCCACATCTCAGGTGATGGGCTCTCAGATCCCAGGTGGCTCCCGGGTCCCAGGTAATGGGCTCTCAGATCTCAGGTTGCTCCCGGGTCCTGGGTAACTCCCAGGTCCCAGGTGATGGGCTCTCGGGTCCCAGGCGGCTCCCGGGTCCCAGGTGATGGGCTCTCGGATCTCAGGTTGCTCCCGGGTCCTGGGTAACTCCTGGGTCCCAGGTGATGGGCTCTCATATCTCAGGTGGCTCCTGGGTCTCAGGACAGCCCCTCAGGCCCAGGTCCTTCAGCGGGTGCTGGCCAGTTCTTGTTCTGCTACGCTGCAGGAAGACAGTTCGTTCACCCAGCAGTGAAGCCGCCCCCCGGGTCACCCGCAGCCCTGGCTGGAGTGCCTGGGTTTGAGCCGCAGCTCTGCTTCCAATCGTAGCTTCCTGCAGATGTGAGCACCTGGGAGGCAGCAGGTGATGGCTCAGGCAGTAGACTTGCTGCCACCACACTGGAGACCTGGATTGAGTTCCAGGGTCTGGGGCATTTGGAGAATGAATCAGCCGAAGGAGGACTCTCCCCACCTCCCTCTCTGCTTTTCTTTCTCTCTGCCTCTCCAATAAAATAATAAAACGAGTATTAATTTGTGTCTCAGTTTTGCTGCTTTGGAGACATCGGGAAGGCGAGCAGCCTCTCAGGGTTTCTCCGCCATCGCCCAGGCTGCCTGCGCTCCGACCTGGGAGGCTAACGCATCTGCTCCGGGACAGCCTCTCCCCAGCCTCTTCCTTTTTCTTCCAATAGTCTATATGGATCGAAGAGGTGCAGGTGTCCAGGGGGTAGGGAACATGTCGAGGGAGGCTCCCAGGAGCCTGCGTGGATGGCAGTGGAACAGAAAAAGCCCTGGGTCTTTTTTCCGCAGGACCTGTGCCCCATTCCCTGGGAGCACTTGGAGAGTAGCAGACGGCTGCATTCCCGGCCTCGGGGCCTCCAGCCTCGGCACTGAGCTGGATCTTTCAAGGCAACGTGCAAATATAAGTGCGAATCAGTGACTGCCAAGGCCAGCTGAGCCTACAGCGGAATTCCTTCGTCTCAGCATCGCCCGTGCTTCCTGAGTTCTTGTGCAATCCTGAGAGCGGGCAGGAAATCCACCTCCAATAAAAATTCAAACTGAATTTCTGCTTCCGGTCAGCCTGGTGAGATGTTGGTTAGGAGCTGAAGTTAATTGGACTTGCAGACCGTGATGTAGAGCTGCTGCAGGCTGGGTTCGGACCCATGGACCAGCTCCACTGAGAACAGCTGAGAACCAGGGCTTCCGACTCGAGAGATGTGCGGATCACGAGCAAACGAGCGTAGACAAAGTCGAAACAGAGACCCAGGCAGCTGAGAGACACGGCTTCGCCTCGTTCTGAACATGCGCACACACGCAGGAGAGCGGGCTGCAGAAATCGCCAACCTGTTTCCTGGCAGGCGACAGGCACTGAGCGGAGATTCAAAATGCCTGTCATTAGCAACAGGCAACGAATGCTGGTACAATAGTTAGGTGCTTCCTTGGACCTGTGCTAAACAGACGCCTGCAATTCCTACCATGTGGCAGATGAGTAAGGGTTATAGGATGTCCTGCTCTTTTTCAAAACTGGCATGACAATTAAAAAAATATTTGGGAAAAATGTGAATTAGAAGTTGCAAGCGCTTTCTTTTCTTTTCTTTTTTTTTTTACTTTTAGAAAAAACTGTGTCTTTGTTCTTGGAAACCTTTTTCAGAATGTTTTTTAATAGCAGAAACACAACCAGGGAAGCCAGGGGCCCCTCGTCCCTTCACTTCTGGGAAAACTTACGCAGATGCTGGGACCCAGCAGCCAAGGGCAGCCCTTGACTTGGACGTGCTTCTCGGCTCCCGTGTTGTCGTCCGGAATGAATGGGGCTTTTCTCTTGACGGGCTGTGTGTGCGGGCAGGGGCCACAGGAGACCTGCAGGAGAGACACAGGTGGCCTCGCGGTGACCTCGCTTGGCAGAGGGTCTGGCCGGGCGCCTTCCTCTCCTGCTGTTGTCCAAGCTCCAGTCAGCCTGACCTCAGGGCCCTATGGACGTTGGGCTGTTTTCTTGTTTGCCTGCTGCAGCCAAAAGACCAAACCACGTGGCAAGGACGGTGGGGGGGGGTTAGAGGAGGGAGGGGGCAGCAGGTGGGCCATAGACCAGAGGGGAATAAAACCTCGCCTCCCCCAGGAGAAGGGAGCAAACTGTGGGCAGAGTCTGAGCGTAGAGGGAGAGATACTCCATCCACTGGTGCACTCCCCAAACGGCAACAGCAGCCAGGGCCGGGGGCTGGGGCCCAAGCATCTGGGCCCTCTTTGGCGGCCTTTTCAGGTGCATTAGCAGGCAGCTGGATCAGAAGCGGGGCAGCCCCAGACATGAACCTGTGCCCCCATGTTGGATGCCCGTGTCACAAGCCTCCGCTTAACCCCTGGAGCCACGACGCAGGCCCTGAGGCTGAGCAGTTTTGTGGAGGTCAGGGCTGTTCCCTGCCACGTGGAGGTGGGGGTGGCCCTTCGCTGGAGGCTGGGGTCCCTGTGGCGGGACTGTGGGTCTCCATGCTGCGCTCGGCTGTGTTTCATTGTGACCAACACTGCCTGAGCTCTGAGCTCTGGGAAGCTGTGAGAGATCAAGAGAGGGGTTCTACGGCTGTACAGGGCTGGGGTCTCCTCTATAACTGGGGATGCCCTAGGCCCAGGCACTTCCCAGGGCCCCGGGCAGCAGCCATAGGCTGGGCAAGGAAGAACAAAGGGCTTGCTGTGCCCACCGGGGGCATGCTCAGCGCTCCCTGCGAGTTGCTTTGCCAGGACTGGGGTCTGGAAATCACGCTGGTGGGGTCTGGAGCCCTCACCGGGAGGATTTTCACGGAAGAGTGGTGAGCTAAGGTTGCCCTTGCAGGCTGGCTAGTATTTCTTCAGGCTGGTTCCCTGAGCAGCATCCGCAGGTGAGCAGGTCACCTGGCCAAGGGGCTCTCGTTCTGTGCCTCTGAGCCCCACCCTGCTCCCTCTGGCCATCACCCAGCCTGTTTTCAGGGGACAGCACCTTGGCCTACGCTAGGGTAAAGCTACCCCTCCACATAGTGTGAGCCCACTGTTATCTCATTACGAAAAGAGATTAACTCATAACACACTCGTAAAATACGTGAATTAAATTTTCTCTTGAGAAAGACCGACAGCAAATACCGAACTCTGAATAACTGCACGCGCTGACTTGCCATAGCCTGGGTGTGTTATCTCTCGCACTAGAACATCGGCAATGCGACATTACATGGAGAGGCAGTGTTGGTGTGCAGACAGCCCCTGCGGCAGCTTCCGCAGAGGGCCGGGGCTGCTTCCCAGAAGACTCTGGGCCCACACGCCAGCCAGCATGGGCCACGGGCCATTGTCCTCTGAACGCTGACTCTTTTTCATTCCCGTCACCCACCCTGTGCCCACCCCTCCTCTTACTCATTTGCATCCTTAAGGACAGACTTTCTTCAGGCTTGTTCAGCCATCAGAGTAGACTGACAAAGGACTGGCTACCGAGACCCACAATGCCATGAGCAGTGGCCACGCGAAGCACATTCTTCCAACAGCAGGTACACAAATGTGAAGAGGAAGATCCCCCTTTTGTCTTGCTGCTCCCTGGAACTGATCTTTTTCCCAAAAATGGCTACAGCACACTGAGGGCATGTCAAGACCTTTGCAGAAAAGCAGGATTGAAAGATCAGTTCAGGGATGAGCATTTAGCCTCACAGTTAAGTACTTGTTGGGGGGGGGGGGCAGCGTGTTAAGCTGCCACCTGTGATGCCAGGATCCTCTATGGCAGCTGGTTGGAGACCCGCCTGTTCCTTTTCCAATCCAGTTCCCTGCAGGTGCTCCTGGGAAAGTAGCAGAAGATGGCCCAAGTGCTTGGGCAACTGCCACCCACATCAGAGGCCTGGATGAAGCTCCTGGCTCCTGGCTTTGGCCTGGCACTGTCCCAGATGTTGAGGCCATCTGGGTCGTACCCAGCAGACACCACTTTGGATTGTGCATATCCTGCATCAGAGGCCTGGGTTTGAGTCCCAACTCTGCTCTCAATTCCAGCTTCCTTCTAATGGGCACCCTGGGATGTAGCAGATGATGGCTCAAGCCCTCAGGTTCCTGTCACCCGCGGGAGAGGCCTGGATTGAGTTCCCAGCTGCTGGTCTGTCTGGCCTGCCCCAGCTGTTGTGGGCATTTGGGAAATGAACCATTGGAAAGGAATGCTGTCTTTTCCTCTCTCTCAAAAAATGAAAATACATTTTAAGAAAACGAAATCTATTGTGGTGCAAAACTTTGAAATCATGCTGTTGCCTCACAATATGCATTTTCCATGAAGTGTTTGAAGACCTCACAGGCACATGAATTTTAAAATTTTTTTAACAGAACAGAAAGCTTTTTGTTTTGCAAAGAGAGGGCAAGACAGACAGACATAGACAGACAGACAGACATGCTCCGAGCTGCCAGTTCGCTCTCTAAATGCCCACATTGGCTGGGGCTAAAACCAGGAGCTGGGAACCCAATCCAGATCTCATCTACTTGAGCCATCACTGCTGCCTCCCAGGGTGCACTCTGGCAGGAAGCTGGAGTTGGGAGCCAGAACCAGGTATCAAACCAGGTGCTCCAATGTGGGGTGTGTCTGGGCATCTTCATCGCTAAGCCAAACACCAGCCCCAGACTTCAGCTTTTTTTTCACACCAGGACCTATTCCCACTTCTTGAGCCTTGAACCTTGAACCTGGGCGGGGCTTTAAATGGCAGCAGTGAGGCTGTGTGATTTTTTTTTTAAAAGATTCATTTATTTATTTATTTGAAAAGCAGAGTTAAAAGAGAGACAGAGGCACAGAGAGAGAGAAAGGTCTTCCATCTGCTGATTTACTCCCCGGATGGCTGCAAAGGCCGAAGCCAGAGCCAAGAGTTTCTTCCAGGTCTCCCACGCAGGTGCAGGGCTCAAGGATTTGGACTTCGGCCATCTCCTACTGCTTCCCCAGGCCATAGCAGAGAGCGGGATCAGAAGTGGAGCATCCAGGACTCAAACCAGTGCCCATATGGGATGGCGGTGCTGCAGACTGGGGCTTTAATCTGCTGTGCCCTGAGGCTGTGTGATTTCCAAAGCTAGGTTTGTCTGTCTGTCTCCCCTCTCTTCATTCTTGGGAACCCAGTCTCCATACTGTGAGGAGACCCAAGCTAGCCCCAGCAAACAGCCAGATCACCCGGCCACCATGTGAGTGATGGACCTGCAGGCGGCTCCAGACGTCACAGAGCAGAGGACGTCTTGGGTGCTGTGTGCGTTCCCAATCCACAGTGGCGTGAGCGTCATGGGCGGTTGCTTCCCGTGCCACCATCTGTAGGAACTGGCGAACTCTGGAACGTGAAGGAACAGATACCAGCTGATCCCAGGGTCGCCGTCTCCACGGGGTCTACGTTTCTGCATTTCTGAGATTCCTTTCATAGCTGCACACCCACGGGAGTTTCAGGGGGGCCGAGTTTGGAAGCTGGTGAGAGAGTGTGGGGAGTCAAACGTAGAATTGAAGTTTCCCCCGCTGTGACTGATAATGCTGACTGGGGACTGCAGAAGTACAGCCAGGTGGGTTTGGTTTTACCTGCCTCACTCAGGCACACCCAGCAGAATCCCTGCGGGCTCCAGCCCCAGGGCCTCCCCTCTCTTGGTGGGGGGTGCAAGGGGGGGGCGTGCTCCGAGGCAGAGAGCATCTCTGGTCTGTTGCACAGGAGGGGCAGGTGAGGGTGCCCGGTTTCTTCTCCCACTCTCACTCGTGGGATCTGCCCCCGCGTCTCACTGGTGGGATTTACCCAGGAAGACAGGCGTGACCCTCCCAGGGTTGTTACTGGTCCTTTGTTAGCTTTCTTCGTTCTCTACTTTAGCTCCAGGCAAACGTTCCATTGAAACCCCATGATTTCCTAATTATATGTTTTTTTCCAAGACTTAAGTGTTCAATCATTTTCAATTGTATACCGCTGAAAATATCTTTACATGGCCTCTGGTTAAAGGCAAACATGAGACATGAAAATTGATATTAGTTGAAAAAACAGAGAATATTCTATTTTACCATTTCTTTTCTACCGGCCTGTCTGCTGGAAGAATGCTTGTGCAACGGGGCTGGCACTCGGTACAGCAGTTAAGACGCCTGTGTACCACGTCAGCTCCCGCCTCCAGCTTCCTGAAAGTGCACTCCCAGAGGCCGTGGGGATGGCTCAGGTGCCACCAGGTGGAACCTGGGTTATGCTCCTGGCTGGCTTTGGCGTGGCCTAGCCATAGCCATTGCAGCCTCTGGGAAGTAAAGCCAGTGGAAGGGAAATCTCTCTCTCTCAATAGATAAATACTTCTAAAAAGAATGACGTGTGCTGCTTGGAATGGCTGCAGCGCTGTGGGTGTAGTTCAGTGTGTGTCTCAGTAATGCTGAACCTGAGCCGCCCTTGGAGGCTGATGCTCTGGTCCTCTGTCTCCGTGGAGGAGTCGGAGGGGAGCAGGTCACGCGTGCAGTCATGCAGCCTGGCAGGCGGAGGGCGTGGTGTGCCTGGCTGCTAGTGGTGCTCTTTTAGGACTATTTCCTTATGTGATTTGAACACAGATTTGAAAGCCAAAACACTGACTTTGGTGTAAGACCCGAGGTTGGCGGCTCCTCCTCACTTCTGTCTTGGTGACCCATGGCGGCTGCTTCCCCAGAACTCTGTTCTCATGAGCAGAACCAGGGTGGCTCTGGAGTCAGCCTGGCCCCAGGACAATGTGCCAGGACAGCAGGAGCAGGCCGGCACCCTCTCCCCACCATCAGGGGCGCACTCTGCTGGTGGAGGCACCACGGCCTCTCTGGGGGCCCCATCCCGGGTTGAGTGGTGCTGGTGATGGGGGCGGGTCCAGCGGAAGCCACGTCTGAAAGCAGGAGCCACAGTGCCTCTCCCCAGTGTCACAAAGATGCCTTTGAATGTTCAAACCCAAGGGGCCAGCAGCCACAGGAGGCGGTCGGTGCACAGCTGGCCGCCCGGACAAAGGTCACACAATTGCTTTGGGGTAAGGGCTGCTGCTGGGGTACAGGCCATGGTCATTGCCAAGTG